TCTTTTCCATTCTTTCTTTTTCGTCTTCGCCCTCTTCTTGTTTTTTTCCTGTTAAAATTAACCACGCTTTCCTACCGTCTTATTATGATAAACGTTTTAAATTCCTGTTAAATTTTTTCACATTATTACTACACTCATTATCTTATAATGTTGTATTCACTTGATTTCTGCCCTTGGGTCAGTTCATGTCGCCATTCTTTATGCTAATCACTCGCTTGACACAATGTGCAACCCGGAACTTTGGTAATAATTTTCCTTCTCCATATGTCTGGTCACCAATCCGTTGGCGAAGTTCATACTCAATTTATTACCACAACTGACATATCCAGATATGTAAGTTAGACTACCATTCATAATCTTAAAGAATCAGATTTTAATCATAATTCTATACCTATTCACAGATCTATTCACCGTAAGTTCTGGCTATTAATATGCTAACGAGATTGACTTTATAACTGTAGGACTTGATGAGAAGTTATTGAAAAGAATATTCTTCGTTCATATTTGACTTTCAATATATATATCAGAAACATGATACAAGTTTATGTACAAGGATGTAAGTTATATCTAGTATGTGACGATTTATGACAGCGTTTATTTTGTCGAGATCGGAGTACGCAGGATAAAAATTGAATTTGAAGTCCACTGACTAACAAACAAGTGCTTAAGAAAATGGACAACACCTATGTGCAAACATTTCCTAATCGGTAAAATCATTCATTCGCCTGTAAGCTGAAAGACTGAGAGATCAGGCTTATAGTTAGAGAAACAAAATAATACACCAGTTAGTAATACTGTAGTTATGCATAGGATAGTATAGTTCAGACTAATCGATCCTACATCCACTCAGTACATCGATGAGTTGAGAGGTATTGGAAGCTATAAAAAAAATAGCCTGTAAGAAAAGATTAAAACCATACAGTTCAATACCAAGCGAAATCGTATAATTTGGGAATCTTTTCTTGTTGTTTAAAATAATGAACATCATCAACTCATATTCTTTGTTTATGAATATATTGGTGAGTTTTCTAGCTCTATCATTCACACATTTGACTAAACGGACTAGTCAGTGCAAGGAGCTAAATAGCAATTTCAAGCACATAAAAGAAACGCTAATAATTAATAACTATCCTCCGCTCCGTAGTTTATTAAGAAATTCGTACGGACACATAAGAAGCGAAATAATAACAACTACACGACTACAAAGAAGTTCGCAGCCTCCACTGTGTTGCTATATAAGAAAGGTGCAGCGGAAACTTTACGTAGGATTCTCAACAAGGCTGGTATTAGGGTGGCATTTAAACCTGCAAACTCACAGATAAGCTTTGTCAGCTGGCATAAGGACCCAATGGAACTAATTAGACAAAATAGCCTAATCTATCAAATTCCATGTAATGGCTGTGAGTTCTAGTACATGAATCAGACTAGTCGGTTGAGGTTAGTTAAAATAGAGAAACATAGGAATTTAGATAAATGTAGAGTGACAGACCCGATTAAGATCAGTAATCCAGAAAAACACTCGACTATTGCAATGCTTATATTAACACACAACCACATCATACGGTAAGATAAAACCACTGTACTCAAGTCCAATACAGTTAGGTGCAAGGAGATAGAGATAGATTGACTACTGAATCTTTGTTCATCAAATCAACACCTAACCAGTATATGTAATAGAAATAACGCAACACCTATACCACAGGTATGGGAAATTTGACTACCAGTAGAAACAAATAATAAAAGGTGATATAACTATAAAAATCAGATATCGAAAGGAATGTGACTACATTGATATTATGATTATGAGCAATAATAATTTATGCCGGCAAAGTCATCAAGTAAATAACACTGTATCACTGTGCATTATAACTCAAAAAAAAAAAAATCTAATATGGAATTACATTTCCCACAGTGCCCTAGGTTTATACTCATATTAATACATTTTCCTTTATATTTTAAAGGTTGTATGCCGTAAGGACAGTTATGACTACAGTATACTTCGCGACATCTAATTCAAATAAATACACAGAATGTATAGTGATATGAACTTAGAGACTTGATGGAAGCAGCCTAAAATCATGATTTATTTCGTTAAAATTAGAAATATATTCGATAATACTAACAACAAATTTGCGCATGCTAGAGGAACATCTGGCTTTAGACAGGATTCCAAACAATATTCAAGAAGACTTCTTTGATAGGCCCTATATAGTGACTCAAAATATTAGATGATTAATTTAAGCCTACGACATGAACAAGACCTAAGTGAAACTGTCTCGGTCCCATGACCCTTGTATTATTGATGCCTCTCTGTTAGAGAATGCATCAGGTGTTATTCATCTTGGCTTATGGTTTTCTTCTAATCTTACTCTTTCCTCTCATCTTCTACCAAGTACGAGGGAAATACATTCTTTGAACTCAGACTGTATGGCCTAACTCAGTCTCTACTCTTATGTGTCGTTAAAGAGATGACAAGGCAGATGCGTTTTCCCATCGCTCTATGAAAGCAAAGGTAAGCATACGATAAGGATATGGAATGTGCGCACTATCTATAAAGCTGGTTGGCAAGGCTGACCAGATTGCAAAAGAGATCAGAAGGTATAGCACAGAAGTGCTAGGAATCTGTGAGGAATCTGCAAATCGAATGGAAGTGGACTCTCTAAACTGTCAACTGGAGAGGAGTCACTAATCTACTCCTATACTGACACCCAAATGACAACCACGAGCACACTGAGTTTTGGAGAGGCTATCATGATGACCTGAAGAGCATCGAAGGCTCTCATACAGTGGGAATCAATCTCCACCACGATCAAGATCATGACAGTAAGATGGATTCAACTCAAAAGGAAGGAAAGTCACAATCATTCAATGCAAATGCTACACACCTACAAATAATGCAGATGAAGAGAAGAAGGAGGAATTCTACAGACAACTGCAATCAACACTGGACAAGAGAGACCCCACTGCAGTTGGCGACATCAAATTTCATTCTAATGGGTGGGGTGACATGAATATGAAACTAGGAGTGGACAACACAGGAAGGGAAGTCATCATGGGTTGATTAGCACTCGGTGAGATGATGAGTGAGATTGGAGAACTGTTTGCAGATTTCTGCACACTCAACGATTTGGTGATTGGAGGCAGTGTGTACAAGCACAAGGATATTCACAAAGCCAGCGACATGGATTTGATTTCACCAGACACCAGATGGACACACTACACTAAAAATCATATGGACTTCTTGTGAGTGTGAAGAAAGTGGAGAGTGAGTCAGCCTACTGGACACAAGATTAGATGAAGGAGGGGAGCAGATGTGGGTTGGGACGACTGAGTATGTAGTGCAAGGAACCTTGGAAATCAGGTTGGAAGCGTTGAAGGAAGTTGGTGATAGACGACCAGAGTTGAAGTTGAACACGGAAAGCAGAAAGTGAATGATGTAACTACAGAGGACGGACATCTTGACATCAGTCAACGATGAGGTCAAAATTGGAGACATTGAGCAAGATCCCTGAAGGATGGGGTGTGGAAGAAGACTGGGACTGTTTGAAAGCTATGTGTTGAAGGAGACCTGCATAAGCGTATTGGGAGGGAGGAGAAGAGAGGACAAGGAAGGTGTCTCGATGGAGAGATTGGAGGTGAAATAGGAAGGAGAGGGAGATGGTGGAGCAGAATATGAACCAGTGTAGTGCAGTGCAAGTGTGAACAGTGAAAAGAAGAAATGAGTGCAACCGTTTTGTTGAATTCGTTTGTGCATAGGCATTTGAACTCCTGTGGACAGCTGGATATAAATATTTCATATGATGACGAGCATCTTCATCCTCACTTCTTTCTATTTATTTCTTCTAGGAAGACTAGAAGCAAATACAGTAAACTTTACGCCCACACGATTACATACAAACAGTCCGCCATACTGTATTTAAGTTGTTTAATGTGTAAAGAAAATCTTATAAGAAATGGTCGTATCTATCAACTTTGTAATATAGAACAGTTATCATGACTTTGAAGTCGCTGAACTTTTCGACAGCAGCATTTCTAATGTATATTTGAAAAGTGTTGCACAACGGGTAAATTAATGCGATATCACATCCCGGGAATTCTATACTATGAACGAAATTGTCTCTTGATAAAAGAAATCTACATTGTTATTAGGGTACCTGTCATAGAATGTGTTGTCTGTGCCGTGGAACTCAACTGCTGGTTCGTACCGCAGTGAGGCAAACCACTTGTTAACTGAAATACAACTGTAAAACTTAATTGTTAAGTGTACCTCGTAGGTAAATGGGTTGAATACCACACTGGTGTCATGAAGATTGTTGATTGAAGTATTGAAAAGGCCGGACTTGAGTTCCATTCATCTCTTGGTTTAAAAGCTAAGATCTCGTTTTTACTTGTCAGTTAAATCAAAGATATGAATTCTCCCTTCTGTAAAGATTTAATCACAAATGAGATTTATAATAATCATACTTTTTCTTAGGACACATCCAAATCAATGGAAATGTTGTTAGTTGCATAAAAGGATAGGTTTAGTTTCATAAATGGGTTAAGGTAGCGAGAAAACAAGAGATGGAAAGTTCACGTCTTAACTTCATTAGAACTGATGTGTGCAAGATAACCAGTAGTTAGTTTTAGTCTCAGTGGGAATAGTAACACCAATTCAGACCCAGGGGAGTGTATTCAATAGGATTTTAACAGATTTCTCTATTGTTTTGTTGCTTATGAATGGTTATCATGACTCACCGGCTTTGTGGATGCGCTCTGTCGTTTGAAGCGATCAGCTTTAAGTTCAAATCTTGTTGGGAAAAGTATCACTCACTTGAGGATAGGTGAGTGCAACTGACAAGTCATAAATCGGACGAAACGCACCTTCTGGATTTCACTGCTGGACACTAATGATCACTACTACCAAGTTTTTCTACTAATAATCATCAAATATGAGAAATTTCAATATTCTTGAGAAATGTTCACCTTGTACATCTTGGTCAGAAAATTAAAAAAGACTTTTGAATTACAACACTGATTTATTATATTCAAAACTTATCTATATGAATTACAAGAGATACTGATATATTAAACACAGGATAAAGAAACAAATCTACCCTTTTACTATGAACATATACATACATATATATATTTATTCAATTGACATGGGTTCATGAAGATAAGTTAGTTTTCCTGAGGTGAAATCCGACGCACATTGTCCTTCCCCGCGTAATACCCATTTCGTGGTGAGTAAACCTTCAACTCCAACTGGTCCACGAGCATGAATTCGCCCAGTATTTATACCAACTTCAGCTCCTGCGGTTGAAATAAAAATGAATTTTTGTATGACAGAGTTAATACAAGGTTTACTTCAAACTGGTTGAATAAACTACTCAACAGCACGAGTAGTTAGAAACCATTCAGGTTGGTCCGTAGATTTCGCCAGCCAGCCAGCCAGCCAGATATGAGCAGTCAAAATATCGAACTGTCGTTTCATTTGTTTGAAACCGAGGTGATCAACGGTTTACCAGGACAAATTCAGCTCATACAACTGAATTAAATCAGATAATCTGAATCTAATTACCTGACTTAGATAGACGGGATTACTTCAAATAAGTCGATCAATTTGGAAATGATTTGCAAATTACTCGGTCGAAGTTGATATTTATCACAGTTGAGTACTTTTTTAACTGCCCAACCGTGGTGCCAACATCATTTCCGTTAGAAACCATTCAAGAGGTATGATTTCTGGAACAAAATTGTGGTGAACCAAAGAACTACGCAAGTAGTTAGAAATCTCTCAGGTTGATCTGTCCGGTATTTAACCCATCCTGATTTGGCTGTGGAAATTTACAAATCAATCTGAGTGGTTATTTCATGACACGTTTATGCCAGAGATCATGCCTTGTGGATAGTTTCCAATGGAAACTCTGTTAGCACCACATTTGGGATGGTAGTTGAAAAACTGCTCAGCTGTGAGAAATGCCAAAGTAAACCGTACAATTTGTAAATAATTTGCAAATCGATCATTTTATTTCAGGTTGATTTTTTCAGTTTTATATTTTGATATGTTATAATTTCATCAGATGTCAATGACTTTCAGTCTGCTGAATTATGCCAGAACTGAAAAGCTTTACGGTGATCATATCGTCTTGAGTCATTAGACTGGCATTTGTTAGTCAGTGTTCTCTGTTTGAACAGTAATACTTTCGATGGCAGGCAACTATATCCACGTTTATTAAAGTGTATATCTTATATCTGAATTGGTTTCCAGTAGGTAATGGACGTGGCTGTCAGGATCTTAGTGTTTAGCAATGATCGCGGTGTATCGACGCATCTAGCTGATGTTTTCTGACAAGCATCATGTCTAGTCCAGAGTGTTATGCACCCATAATGTTGCATCATATCGCTTAATGGCCAACCATATTGTTAAAACAGCTCGATAGAGCATTGGGGACTAGAGATGAACATCGGTTCCTCACTGCTGACCAACGTTTGGATAGAACTCAATCCAACAGAAGGTCAGCCATGATGTGAACAGCTTGTCAGTTAAACCTTCGATTTTAGCACCAAGTGATGTAGGTACAAATCTCCGGAAGAACACTGGTTTTCTTACACTTGCAAATGTGCCCTACTGATAAGTGTCAATAAGTGGGAAACCCTCGCCATGCACAGATACTTACCAATTGACCCACAGGAGCTAATACACAATAGGTATTTTATTTCTAGTGTTGTTAATTTATGATTAAAGGCAGCTTTCGCTCCGATAATTAAATGATAACTGATTGAAGTTCGTAGAAGTAAAGATAGTTTTTAATTCGATGAGAGATCAACTGAGAGTACTAAGAAATACTCACTGAAGGTAGTGGAGAAACTGGTTACCAACCAAATTTTCTCGTTTCTATGATATCAATTTCAGACTACATGTTAGGTTGTTAGGTTGCAGAAGGTATGTTCATGGTCATTTCTTACATCTGTTTACCTTATTCTTGACGCTAAATAAAGTTTTTATGAATTACTACAAAGTTTACGTAGTCAGTTATTTGCAGAGAGAAGTCTAATTTGTGAATATGGTGCTGTTAAATGGATTATATACCTAACAATGAGAAAAGATACGATTTTGTCTTTCATTTCCTGGCTGTTGCAAGAAGAAACTTTTGATTACAGGACTGTTTTTCAAAGGATCTCATCTAACTCTCCAACAAATTATGAGTTCGTTACTACATTGGGTTATTGGAACAACTTTAATATCAGCAGAAGTTTTGACAGATGTCAATGAAGTTTCCTTAGTGCAATGGTGTCAGGACTGCAGCGATATGCGATCCAAAATAGTATGTAGATTAGATGTGAAGTTTGGTGGAGTAAGTAATTTGATTGGAGTAGACGAATGTGTTGTTCGCAAAGGTAAATATAACCAAGGAACACGAATTAAACAGAGCTGGGCAGATTACATACATATTGCTCAGAAAAAGCAATCATTTGACCCGACAACTGAATGGGTACAATGTTGAAAATATGTGAAGTCGTTTTAGAAAGTTCCTAAGACTTTTAAAAAGGATCAAGATGAGATATGATATGGTCCCATATGGATGAGTGGTAGTGAAGGCAATAATGTGGTTGCCAAGGTGATAAACCCATTAAAAATCTAGATATCTTTATTTTTCATAAACACACACTTAAAAATTGTGCATAAAATACAATTTTTGCTAATAATTATATAACCCGTTTATTCTGATTGGCCAGTGAATATTCAGATATGATTGGCCGTCACTAAGGTTTAATTCTACCCCGGGGTTTCAATAAGGTGCAACTCAGTCAACCAACTCAATCCTATTATAGGTAAACCAACTGTTAATCCAATCGATGTATCATACAATTTCATGTCCAGTAATTGTGCAAATGACAGATAAGTATTGTTTCATGTTTGCGTATCATTCATAAAATGAGGAAGACCGAATTAGGCAGGAGTGAATGATTGATTGATAAATAATTCGTTTGTGATACCCCTTGTTAAAACAATTGATTAAAGTAATTAAAAATCTTCTAGTGTATGTGAACTCACCCAATCCAAACCGATAACCGTCAGCGAATCGTGTACTTGCATTATGAAAGACGCATGCACTGTCTGTTTTCTGAAGGAACACTTCTGCTGCAGCCTCTAAATAGTTGAATAAAGATTTTTGAAAATGTAGATTGAATAATTGAAAAGTAGTTGTAAATAACTATTGGTGACAAACATGGAATTAATTCCTAAAAGGAAAACTATAGTAGCCCGTATCCTACTAACTAGATAAAGAATATTACAGTTAGGTGTACAACAGAATATTCAGTGTCATGCGTTGCATTATACTTATCCCTCAATATGAACTTTTGTTGTCTATTTCATCCTGAATATTGAGAAATCTCACACTTGTTCTTCATCTTTCGTTTATAGTTTGATTGTTACTTGACAACCAATTATTTCATTCATTGGTAAGAATGAACTGTAAGTATTCATTGCAGCAATAGGCTCGATTTTAGCCCCGAACTTGTAAGTTGATTGTATGGCTACGGAAAACTGATAATGTTCTAGAATCTGCAGATAACTGTGTAGTGTATAGACTGTCAAATGGCCCAACGGTTCAATCTTTTGATGTTAGTTTAGTCAGACTTTGAGACAGGTACCATTCGATATCGGTAACTTAAAGAATTCAAGCCATTCGCAAACTTAATGTTGTATATAGTTAACTGGACTGCGTCTCGGTCTTTTACCAATATACATTTATAACAACTGGCTAAACTTTAAAAAACCAAATATATGGACGATATTATTTCACAAAATGGAACCTGTGATCATTTGATTCTGACGCAGGATATTAGTGAGCAAGGATTTTGATAGATAGCTTCTTAGTTGTAGCAAATATTTGTAGCTCAGGATGGAGATGTTCAGAACCAGCTACTCTCTAAGATAGAATTTTAGTCAGAGAATGTCTCATTGTTATGCCAGACGTTATCACCAGTTCATTGGAGCTTCATAAAGAAGTGAGGTTTTTTAAATGGAACTCATTGAAACAAGAAAGAGTCAGTCAGTCACACAGTTGCACACTTCAGTGAGAAGAATGGAGACAAGTATAGAACCAGTCATCTTAAATATAAGCCTACACACTCATCAAAAGACCAGTCAGGTTACATTGAGGCAAAGTAGTACGTTATAAACATTACTTCACTTCCTTTTGAAGCTCTAGTGAATTGATGTCTAGAATGATGCTGAAATATTTCTCAGGTAAAACCCTAGCTTAGAAAACAGTTCACCTCAAACTTCTTAGGAAAGACTATCGTATAACGGAATCTTCTGCTTTCAAAGGAGCCAATTCCGGGAGATATCCTGACAACTGTTGTACCTAGTCTAATACTCATATTGGTTCACCAAAACTTTCTCAGTTACATTACTCATATGGGGTGTATTTCAGGTTAGTATACTCAAAAGCAAGTCAGTTTCATTTACTTCTTGTAAAATAGGCTAAAACAGTAATGATGCTGCTTAGTGGGAAAAACATCGGCCACGTAGAGGCAGGTATATTCAGTTGATGAGTATCTACCCTGGTTACCTGGTTCACTAGTTACTAGCCGATCCTAAGCCGGGATAAAAAGAGAAGGTTTAGCATAGGGCTAACAGCCCTACCCCGTTACAACAATCCAATTGCTAAATAACCTTAAAAGTACAAAGAAAATATAAAAACATAAAAATAAACTTAATCCTCGATGGAATCGGAGAGACGAAATGACTCCCGTTGGTGAAAGCATTCGGAAAGCCAATTCGCCAATGTGTCTCCTCTCCTTCGATGAAAGCGAAAGTTGGGATGGCGACATGGAATTTCCGCACCATATATGAACCTACCAAGGCTGCCCAGATTGCAAAAGAGATCAGAAGGTATAGCACAGAAGTGCTAGGAATCTGTGAGGAATCTGCAAATCGAATGGAAGTGGACTCTCTAAACTGTCAACTGGAGAGGAGTCACTAATCTACTCCTATACTGACACCCAAATGACAACCACGAGCACACTGAGTTTTGGAGAGGCTATCATGATGACCTGAAGAGCATCGAAGGCTCTCATACAGTGGGAATCAATCTCCACCACGATCAAGATCATGACAGTAAGATGGATTCAACTCAAAAGGAAGGAAAGTCACAATCATTCAATGCAAATGCTACACACCTACAAATAATGCAGATGAAGAGAAGAAGGAGGAATTCTACAGACAACTGCAATCAACACTGGACAAGAGAGACCCCACTGCAGTTGGCGACATCAAATTTCATTCTAATGGGTGGGGTGACATGAATATGAAACTAGGAGTGGACAACACAGGAAGGGAAGTCATCATGGGTTGATTAGCACTCGGTGAGATGATGAGTGAGATTGGAGAACTGTTTGCAGATTTCTGCACACTCAACGATTTGGTGATTGGAGGCAGTGTGTACAAGCACAAGGATATTCACAAAGCCAGCGACATGGATTTGATTTCACCAGACACCAGATGGACACACTACACTAAAAATCATATGGACTTCTTGTGAGTGTGAAGAAAGTGGAGAGTGAGTCAGCCTACTGGACACAAGATTAGATGAAGGAGGGGAGCAGATGTAGGTTGGGACGACTGAGTATGTAGTGCAAGGAACCTTGGAAATCAGGTTGGAAGCGTTGAAGGAAGTTGGTGATAGACGACCAGAGTTGAAGTTGAACACGGAAAGCAGAAAGTGAATGATGTAACTACAGAGGACGGACATCTTGACATCAGTCAACGATGAGGTCAAAATTGGAGACATTGAGCAAGATCCCTGAAGGATGGGGTGTGGAAGAAGACTGGGACTGTTTGAAAGCTATGTGTTGAAGGAGACCTGCATAAGCGTATTGGGAGGGAGGAGAAGAGAGGACAAGGAAGGTGTCTCGATGGAGAGATTGGAGGTGAAATAGGAAGGAGAGGGAGATGGTGGAGCAGAATATGAACCAGTAGAGTGCAGTGTCGTGCAGTGTAGTGCAGCGTAGTGCAGTGCAGTGCAAGTGTGAACAGTGAAAAGAAGAACTGAGTACAAGGTGTAAAACATTATGCTGGACAAAGAAGTGAAGAGGAGTGCCCGGAGAGACAAGAGACACTTGTAGGCCACGCTTTCAAGTGAAGCAGAACAGGCAGTTGTTAGTGGAGACCTGGCCACATTATATGAAATGACCAGGTTACTATGTGGGGAGAGATCGGTTCAGCTGTAACCAATGAAAGATGTTGAAAATCACCACCGGGACAGGCTGGCTGGCGTCAGTTAAAACAAATCATGTATGGATCAGATCTCAACGCTACGCTACGCATCATCATAGAACAGAGCATAGAATAACAGTCAACTGGATGTCTACCTCAACTTGATCAACTTTGAAGAGGCCTTCGATCGAGGCGTCGACCGAGAAGTGATTTGGCAGGCAGCTGCTTCTACACTACGGTTTCAGTGCCACAAACCCTTATGAACCCCATTCAACAGCAGCAGTATGGCACATGATGCTTCATGCGCAGTGATCCATGATGGAAATCTGAGTGATGCGTTTGAAGTGAGGACAGGAGTAGGATGTGGCTGCTGCTTACTATCACCAATGATCTTCCAGATTTTGGTCGACTTGATGATGCAGCAAACTGTGGGGAGCAAGAAGAGGGGGATAGACTGGACTGCGGAAAATATCCTAGGAGATGTGGATTCTGCAGATGACCTGTGTCTAATGTCACGCAAACCTGAATATCTACAGACGAAAACTAACAAGTTGACAGAAGAGGCAATGCAGTGAAGACGAGACTTCTTTCAGGTGAATGCAGAGAATACAGGGGTGATGAAGATACCCAACCTACAACAACAGCATCAACAACAAACACCAATCACCATGAACAGGAGAAACCTAAAGGAAGTAGTCTCTTTCACCTACCTAGTCAAGGCAGCATCGTTTCAACTACAGGCGGTACAGACACAGATGAAGATGAGGATGAGGATGAGGATGTCAAAACTAGCCATGATTGGAAAGACAGCAAGATATGCTGTCGTTAATCTGAAGTCAGTGTGGAGATCTACTGCACTCCACTCAGCATGAAGCGTGAACGAGATCCCGATTTTCAACACCAATGTCAGTCAAGTAAGTCAGTGCTTCCATGTGATGGTTGAGAGACTTGGCGTGTGACGATAAGCACTTCCAACAAACTACAGACATTCATCAACAGATGCAGGCTAAGCTGGCTCGACACTGAAGATCAGATAGATGGCGAGAATAATAAGAATAAGCAACAAGCAACTCTGAGAACGAACCAACGAAGCAAGAACCCATCACCCAACAAATATGCAGAAGAAAATGGAGATGGATTGGATTGGATTGGATCGGACGTACACTGAGAAGTCTGATTGGGGATATGATGTGCCAGACCAGGCCGTCGAGTGGAATCCAAAGTGGAGACGACGAGTTGGGCATCGGAGATGAGGGTGTGATGGAGGAGATCATGTGAGGAGGAAATGAGAGCTTGTGGGCAGTTGTGGCGCCAGGTTGAAAAGACTGCAGAGATTTGAGTGAGATAGAGACGTGCTAGTGAAGCCATATGTTCCACTAGGAACCCAAGGGACAAATAATAATAATAATAATAATGATAATAAAGATGACGAAACGCGCTTCTTGGATTTCATTGCTACCCACCATCAATCTTTACTAGCATTAAACAATATTTCGATAAATGAAATTGAATTACATTTTATGTCAGTCAACGTTTCATTGTAATATCTTTAGAATCAAGTGAATAACAAATATTTTACGTTTTAACCGATGATGTATGCAAAATATTGTTTACTATTATTGAAATCTCACCTATCTTAGCTCTTTCAATGATCAATATCAAGAGTTGTTTTGATATAGTAATAATTTTAATGAAGTTAGAATTTCCAGAGTTCATATGGTTGACCTGACACGCGTACATTACGTGTAAAGTATATATAAATATATAAATATAAAAATTTTCATGGCTGATTATAAATAAACTGAAAAAGCAAGGTCATGGTATATAACCAGTAGACATTATGATGCTTTAACTGAAGTGTTTAAATACATTTTCTAAGAAGGAAAGGTTATGTTCAGCTATTCTTTTAACCCATTAGTTATAATTACTAATACTTCTCTTTATGAGTAAACATTTTCTTTAACCATTTTTGTTATTAAGATGATGAAGAATATTTATAGCTTAGACGGATGATTTTGGTTGGGTTGTCTTCCCTGAACTGAATGCCTTGTTCGTAAGCTTTCCATTGTCATTGTAAACAAAATTTCTTTTATGGAAGTGAACGATGAAGAATTTTCATGCTACTGCTGATGTTGTTGTCTTGAATGGCTACAAAAGCTTCAAAATTGGACCATCCAGCTCCAAGAACATAGCATCATCAAAATAAATTAAATTCTTCATAAAGATACAGTGCTTGACATTCATCAACCAATTATTTTCACAATGTTAACCAGTTTTCTTGACTATACACACGATATGTAAGTTTATGAATACTTTAAGATGAAAATTTCAAGCCAAATGACGTTTGTATACAGTAGAACAATATGAAACATGAAATGTTCTATCAATCACTATTGGAAACTTACTATCTTCGGTTACAATTGTTTCAGTATGTGAACTTCCGTACAATGCAATATGCTCGATAGCTTCATCTAAGCTTTCCACCAATTCTATGGTACACTCCAAATCTCCATATTCATGAGATAAATCTTTGGCGGGTTCCATTGCATAAGTTAAATTTTGACCTAATCTGATCAAGCCTGGACCTGCATACAGTTTCACCTAAGTATATAAAATCAACATCAACAAAATAAAGTATAACTGATTAGAATACTCAAAGTTGTTTATATTCAGTCGGATTACTTATAGCTTGCTATATCATTTGACCAAGAATATGGAACATACAGACTGTTATTAGTTTTTCCACAGTCTAATGAGAAGTCTTAGACTTGTTTACAATAGTCAGAAAGGAATGTCTTGAATGCTAAACTTTCTTTACTAAACCCTTTCTTATGATATGATATGATATTGCTATGGTGATACGATACCTTAGACAAAATGACTTTATATAGAGGTGTTCTGTGTTTGCTGTTGGATGCCTGTGCGTATTGTAGTTTCAAATCGATTATTACAAAATTTAATATTACATGATAAAGAATAACTTTTTCATAGTAACAGTGATTGTTCTCTTACACACTAACAATAAACTGAGACAATAAAAAAATTGTACTTTACAGTTCCTTTTTCTTATCACCAATCTCCCAATCTTGACAGTTTCACTGAGGATGGTTATCTCAAAGCGAGAGTGTCGTGATGTATTCTTTTACAGGTTGATTAAGTACACAATTATGGTGTTGTAAGGTCGATAGAAGAAAACTGTTTTACAATTTTACTTTGACTACTTATCAAATGGTCAGTAACTTGCTGCTATTCTAGCTAATTGTTAAAAGGTGCTGATTCTGTTCTCATGTCACGATAGTTTAGTTAGATCATACTGAATGTGAAAGCGCATTCACTGTAGGTTTCAGATATCTCTTTCACATGTGATCATGATATGTTTAGATAACTAAAATACACAGAGTTAACTTGCTGCATTTTTGGTTATCATTCAGCATATATTCACCTCCTCCTTTTATTTTACTCATACTCAACACTTCTTCCCGCTATCTCATTTGGCCCCTTCTACGAAGTAGATTTCTTGGTCCTATTCAGTGTCTCCATAGACTTCAAGTTGGCATGCACCAAGGACTGAAATAAGTTCGAGAAATATTACGAACCCAGGACCATTAGACAGTTGTTTCGTCTTAGCATGAGACTCCCCAATAGTATGCACCCATGACCCCACCGGGGATCCAAACAAAGAGTTTTGGGTTCCGCAACCAGCACTTTACTATGGACCCACTGCGTCGTAATCCAATGTTCCATATTTCATACTTCTGTTAGTTCAGTTATATATGTTTTGTCAGAAGAATGATTTATTTAGCTACAATTTTTAGGCCTGGATTAGTTTGTTGAAAATGTGTATGTACGCTTTTAGTTCTCAGATATGATAACCAGTGACGTCTCACCTCATTACTGTATACATCAACTAAATTTACCTTATTGTTATCGATAAATTTTGATGAATAGCTCTTAAGACTAGGTAAGTGAATAATACTGTTAGTGGTAAGTTTGTGAAGTTTATTCCTTGTTTGAACTTCAATTAACAGTTAACCTTGTGCTGTTCACTGTGATAACTGAGGAAACCTGGGACCATTTTAAGAAATGTGAAAGTCTTATGGTGATAATTCTGGGTTTCAATGAAATCTTTCAAGTTCACTTAGTGAGGTGTCACATAGTGACTTATTATCACTTTTTACTTCCTCCTGTAACCTCGTTCTGAAGGCTTAGACGAATATTAGTTGAGAGATGTTTTCGGGATTATAGGCTAACACAAGGATAATTTGTGTGATTTTCTCAAACTACTGTTTAATAATAATAATAATAACAATAATTCCCTTTATTCCAAACAATTTGTGGTACAATTTGGAATTCTCAGCGTAATATATATTGCAATAACAACAAAATATAAGTATACACTTACTACTTTGCAGCCTTTTGAATTGTTTTATTATAAAAATTTAAGTTATGTGAAGAATATTAAAAACGAGAAAATTTTGCATTGTAAGTTAAATTATTGAAATGAGATTTTTAACTGTCACAAAGTTGATGTGTGATTTCTGTTCTAACACTTTTTTCCTCACAAAATATACGTGCAAGGTAAGGTACAGTCGAATTCTTATACTTAGCTGTACGAGCATACAGTCTTATGTAGTTTCTCCTTGTCCTCCCTGAGGAGATACATGGAGAGAGCTGTAAATGAAGTGGATGCTCACTGTCAGTTAAAATTTCTGTAGCTAGTAGCTTGCAGGAATTTATATGTCGATCAACTACAGTGTTAATCAGTTGAGCCAGAGACACACCACTCACCCTGCTGACGGTCTTCAAAGCCCTACGCAACATAACATAGTCCTTTTTAAGAAGACCAGGAAAGATTAATGGGGAACAATATAGAAGAATAGGTAAAATGCAGGAATTAATAAATTGTAAAAGAAGCAGTTGAGTTATACCAGAAAGCCTCAATTTCTTTACGTAATAAGTTAAACGAAAGATTTTTTTACAAGTCAATAAAATATGGGACGACCAACAAAGGTCAGAAGTAAAACGCAACCCAAGATAGTTCACACTCGATTTACTTTCTGCAGAAATACCATTGATGCAGCAGGCGTCATGAGATTTAAGCAGCTCACATAAGTCTTGTTTACGCCTGAGGCTAAAATTAACGGTCTGACATTTAGAGGGGTTTAGTTTGAGACCATTTGAGAGAGACCATTTACCAACTTCAGACAAGAATTCATTTAATTTCGAGCAATCCAAAGAAGAGTTTACTGGAATAGAAATCGTCAGGTCGTCAGCATACTTGATAAAATTAGTTTCAACAGAATAAGGCAAATCGTGCAAAAAAAGGAAAACAGAAAAGGAGAAAGTACAGCACCTTGAGGCACACCAGCTTCAGTAAGCAATGAAGTGGAGCGCATCCTTTATGAATAGTGTACTGTTTCCTTTCAGAAAAATAAGAATGCAGCCATTTTGTAACCCATGGATCAGTGTGAGCTATGGCAAGCTTATTTAACAAAAGTGGTCTAGGAACAGAGTCAAAGGCTGATGAGTAATCCAAAAAGGCACAACGGACATACTTAACACCTTTGTCGAGACTAGAAACAATATTATGATGCAAGACAGTAGCTGCATCTAAAGTACTCCTCCGGTGTTTGTAAGCAAACTGTTTTGGATCTCTGAAGGCCATCAATGAAGGCTCAATCACAAGCAGAAGTAATTTCTCCATTGTCTTCAGAAAAGGGGAAGTTATAGCGATGGGTCGAAAAGTAACATCTGATCCAGAAGATGGCTTAGGCACAGGTACAATTTTTATCTGCTTCCAAGCAGTGGGTATTATGTTTTTAGAGAACGATACATTGAAGATATCTGTAAGTGGATGACACAAAATATCTGCACATTTTCTAAATATGATACTAGAAACACCATCAGGACCTAAGCTTTGGGAGGGATTCAAAGACTTTAGACATTTAAATACATCATTTGTATTGAAACCTGGAAAGCAGCTATCCACTTGATTTTGCACATTAGGAAGGGTGAAATTAGCTTGCCGACGTATAAATGACTTGTTTAACGCGCAGACATCCGAACGAGTTTGTGTTGTCATCTGTTTTTTACCTTTTTTCTCTTTAAATAATTTCCATATATTGGAAGAGTTCTTACACGATAAGAACTTCTTGTTGTATATAGTATTCAGACGTTGTATTTCAGACTTAATTAGGCAGTTAAGCCTTTTAACGCCAGGGTGATCTCTCGCCTTATACAACCTTTCCTTTTCTCTCCGAAGCCTCTTGAGATGAGGAGAGGAAAGTCTGTCAAATCTCATGTAAATTGTTTCAGTAGGGCAGCAGATATCGAGACAGAATCTGAGATAGCTTGTGATATTGGTAATAGTGTTGTCTAAAACTTCATCAGCAAATATATCCCAGTCCGTTTCTATAAGCATGCTTCTCAAACGTAATATATTTTCTTGTGAATAGCATCTGTATTGAACTTTCCTTGAAAGGTATGCAAAAGCTTTCTCACATAATTTTCCGTACACTTTAGGCAAAACACGAACGATACAGTGGTCGGAATTTGGCAGTGGAGCCCGTTTACGGGCTTCATATATGCCAGGTTCATTTGTAAATGCAAAGTCTAGGGTGTTGTCAAGACGAGTGGAAAAGTTAACCATATTTTTATGACCCAATGATAGTAGAATACTGTAGTCACATGAGTTAAAATCACCACAGACAATAGACAAGGAGTTTCCCAGAACCGGAGCAGCAAATTCAGTGAATTTATCAGCAAAAGTTGACAAATCTGAGAAACTGCAGTCAGGTGTGACATACATATTTGTGATATATATGTATTTGTATTTGCTCAAATGTTTGGGACGACATTTGATGGTAATGCACTCAATTTTTTCGTTAGAGAAGCAGAAGCATACATAGTTGGAGGACGACCAGTTAGTACTAATAAATGTTGCTACACCACCACCACATTTCTTCTTCGAAAAGCTTCGATCTTGTCGAAATAATTTGAAACCATCTAAGCAGACTAAGTCATCATCATACAGATTATGAAGCCATGTTTCCTGCAGCATTATTACACCCGTGTTTCGATAAACATTTGTGGACAAGAGTGACTGAAGGTAATCAACTTTATTCGGCAGCAACCTGCAGTTTGTGCTAAGTATTTCCGGAATAGTCATTTGATCTATGGTCATACGCTTCAGAGCTCGTTGCCATCCACCGTGGTGCTTCTTCTTAAATTTCCTATCAACTTGCGAAGCGATAGGTTGTAATGATTTTAAAAACGCACGAGAATATACAATACGATTGGTTGACATAATTAAGCGATTAAAACAATATAGAAATAAGAAATTTGATGCAATATACTCGATGATAGAAAACGGTAGCCCAGAGTTCAGGTAGGCCACCGAACTAGGTGATGATTGAACGTGAAATAAAAATATGGCCCACCGTAGGATTCGAACCAGTGACCACCGCGTTTCTGGCATGGTGATCTACCACCTGAGCTACGAGGCCTGAGTGCAGAACGGGCTTTTATTTCACTTCAGTCGTCAACGGTTTTTCCCGACTACTCTGTGAATTCGTGGTACGTTACTACCGCTTAATCATACTCACACTGGCTGCCTAGCCAGGACTTCTCATCCAAATCCAAATCTAACTGAATTAGAGAGGGGAAGCATCATGTTGACTATCATTTGACCATTTGAGGTAGCCACGGTTTGAAAGACGTATGGTACTCGGTGATTATTGAAGGTGAAATGAAATTTTTAATCACAGCGGGTCTCAAACCAGGGACCACTAGGTTTCTGGTCCGGTGCTGTTGTGTTGTGAAAATATTTTTTGAAATGCTAGGGACATTTGGCTTCTTTTTTACTGTCTCTTATAGATTAGTCAATGAGGGAATACTCATTTCATCTCTCTTTATGTTTGATGAAAGTAAATGAAGTTTAAATATGAACTGATAGGAAATCACTGACAGTTGCTGATGATGAAAGCTAAAAGAAATTAGAAAGTGTCCTTGAAATGTTATCGTAACCAGATGTTCGGATTTCATAAATGAGCTAACTTGGCACGTAATTAGTGTTAGGAGACTCAGAGATTGAAGGATATGAAAATGGTGGCCTTAATCGAATCTATGCTTCTCCAGTAGTTTGTTATGAAATCTATCCACATTAATTCTTGAATTGAAGAATGATAGAGCCAACTCAGATTTTTCTCAAAATTGTCTCCTTTGTTAACTTCTCTTTAGTGGAACTTCTAGGGGTCTAGTCTTCCGCAATTATATACGTGTTGCTCCTTTTTATGTAACTTTCTTTAGACGGACCTTTCTAAGTGATTACTGAATGGTTTGAATTTTTATCAGTTGCTTCCTAAGATAAGAATACCTCTAAACGAAACAGTGGTATGGTTCTTTGAAATGAAAGCGAAATATTGCAGAGTATATAGGTAGAAATTGGAGAAGTCACGTGCATCCTTTACATAAACCAGATGAAATACTATTTTACCGCTAATCTGCATCCACTCATAGTGTGATACAGCTGTTGCTGGCGGATACCTTAATTAGACTATTTCGCCACTTAGTATAGTTAAACGGATGTTGTAAACTGGTTTGCCAATGACAAACTAATTCCACTTAAGAAATTAGGTTGACATCTTTTATTTTAAAGTATCAATTAGTGTGTAATTCAGCGGGGTTTCCTGTGTCATTTTTAAAAAGACATATGCAACGAAAGTAAAAGAGATGGTAATTACAAAGGGATCAGATGAAAATGTCATTTGAAGCATCTCTTTCATATAGCGTTACCATTTAAATGAACCATAATATTCCTGGTAGGATAATGACTATACTTATGGGTTGTCAAGCTTTATCAGTTGATAGGTAAGATTTTTTGTCAGTAGTTTTACCATTGACGTGCTTCTGAATTCAGTTCTTATCATTGAAGTGGACCGAAAACAGCCAAACAGAGACATAATAGTGTTTTACAATATGACTGGATGATAAACGTAGGCATTTCATCTAGATTTATGACAACAGCAAGAATCGACGTTTGAGGTTATTACGTTATTTGGCTGAAAAAAGTAATAACTCTTCAGACAAAATCACTTCTCCCCTCTTAATTGTTGAAATTTGTGACCTATTCAAGTGATTCACTACAGTACTACAGGATCAGTCATTATTTGTTGAAATCTATAGTACTGTCGATAATAATGTCTAGTTAGGTAATTGATTTGCCTTATTTTGAACTGTATTATATCCAACTTCAGGAAACATTTATTTAAGCGCACATCAACTGTAAGTTTATCATTGGGTAAGCTAAGATCTTGATGTTTGGAAAAGTTCTTAGACTAATGTTTGAAATGCACCTGAATATATCATCAGCGTGATGAACTTATGAAATGCAAGTAATTAAATGATATTAGAAGGATTATGTGGAAATATAGTTTTCACTTATTAGTTAGTGCTTAGTCAAAGAATTCGTTGTAGGGTATCATAAATATATGTGTAGAACCTTAGACTGGATTTAGTGCTGTCATCGGAACATGTAGACTTACAGATCTAATCACTGGACTTAGTTTTATATGATTTTGAGAATACAAACCATTGAATATCCCAAAGTAGGGTGAAATATCTATTGAGAACACTCTTGTTTTCACTGATTATCCGAATGATATCAGTTGAGAATAAAGACTAATTATAAATATTAGTTGGTTGGAACCAGTTAACGGAAAGCCATGTCCATCAAAATGTACCCTCACGCTATGTCTCCTAACTAGGTAAGCACAGTACAAGATGATCTATATAGTTAGATGAACACTCAAGAACTGAAAAGAGTCAGCTGATTAGTCGATGCATTCAATCCCCTCCAAAGGGAGGTCAGTCAGTGGTCGTATGATCCAGCGATAGGTTCTCTGGTTGTAATGTTGGATGGAGAAGATTCAAATCTTTCAAATGATATCCATTCCCCCAAGGCTGCAGATATACTTCGGTGAGAAGTGCTAAAATATATGATACCTACGTGAAGTAGGACTTCCAGTCGATTACCTCCAATTAATTAACCATAAGTCAAGCTTATTGTCATGAACTACTCATTAATTTTTATAATTATTGTCAAGCTATGAAAACATATTACGGAGACTTACACATATTTCACCTTGTCCTCAGAGTAATATAATTTAACCATATGTGTATTACAAGCTAAAAATGACACTTCTTCTAGGCTTACCTTATGCGCTCGTAAATGATTACTTAATCTCTCCAATAGTCCAGATTCAGCATGAGATTTATGCACAAGCAGAGTTTCCATTGCATTGCAAGCGGATGGATAATCACATTTAGAATCAATAACTAAAAATGATGAATGAAAATATTTTCCGTTACTAATATTGTGTTCTAAATGAAATATGCGTAACATTCTAAATTATTCTTTCTCATATAACTAGTATCGCAAGTGCATTTATCTCTGAAAAGCATATGTAGCTGAGAAACGCATACATAGTGATCATCAGTTATTATTAACCTAATCAGTAGTGGAGGGATATGGGTAGTAAAACTAAAAGTTACTTAGTTGTTCGAGACGGAAATTCCTATTCTTAGACAGACAAAGACTGTTATTTATTGATGGTTGCAATCTCCTGCTGTTATTCTAGATGGAACTAATCAGCCTTTGCTGGCATATGGACCCTAGCGCGGACGCTGTGACACTGCCTGTTTATTGACTATATTATGATGTGTCTGGCTGTGGCTGGTAGTGGAATCCTCCATGCACGTCTTGTTTTGTTTCGAACTCGTCAGTTGGATGTAGCTGCATTCCAATGAGTGATGTTCACTCTGGAAACTGAACCTCTTATCCATCGCTTCATTCGCCAAAGAGTTATTCACTAGACCACTAGCGCCTGCGGACCATCTGAATACAAAAGGAACAGGGTATCCAAGTTATGTGTAAAGATCAACACTCTTCCATGATAATGAATCATTTCTGCATGGTACTGTGGGCTGGTTAAGGTTGAGAAGTCTTGTCTACAGAGTTAACTGCTGTTGAATGAATAAATCATAAGTAAGAGCTCTAAACCAGAATGATAAATCCATGAGGTGCTACCTTAGTCTTAGTAGTTAACTAGATTCAGTCAATTCGAAGTGACAGTTGCCACCGAATGAGTCAACTGATGGATAACAGCGTTTACACCTGCAATCGACGACATCATGTACTAACATCATACTTAACAGCATGAGGCTACTTCAGCTAAGCTTTCACTCAAGCTACCATTGCAATTCTATTTGTATAGAAATTTGAAATACATACCCCATGATTGCAAAACTCCTAGCTCATTTTAATCGATCCAAAGATAGGAGGGTAAGGGTTTAGCTATATTTTCTGGTTATAGTTTTATAGCTAGACTAACTCATACACGTACATGGGGACTGTCTACTTAATTTCAGACTATTGTGACGTCAATCGTTAAGCATTATCACGAGTGATGCTGGAGTTATATCCATAATTTTTCTTGACTTTCATTGTTGATAAGTAATAGTATAGAAATGGTATGGGATGGTAGAGCTATACAATAGGATGATCAGTTTGCAAATGGTTCATAAGTTGCGCACTTCACAGCTGAGTAGTTTTCCAACTACCGTCTCAACTGTGGTGTCAACAGGAATTCCGTTAGAAACCACCCATCAGTCAAGATCATAAGGTCTGATTCCTGACATGAAACTACCGTGAACTAGTGAACCATGCTACTACTAGGCGACTTAAGTAGTCCAAAACCAGTCAGGTTGATTTGTCGACTTCGCCAGGCAGCCAGAGCAGAGTGATCTAAGCACTGGACACCGTTTCGCTCGTTTGCAACCCAGCTCATCATTGGTGTGCCTGAACAAATTTAACTGTGAGGTTTGATCAGCCTGACTGTTTTCTAGCTATTCGAGTTGTTCAGTAGTATACTTCGTTATACTAGATCATTAGCTAGCACATCCTATCGTTTTGTTTTACACATGGGTTGACCTTTAGGACTTTAATGTGAAGCCTGAGGAAACGTTTGAGACAATCATTCATACAGTTGAGTAGAACCATTAATGTGAGGCAAAAAAAGAAGAATTCAGCAAAGAATAAAATGATTGACTGAAGGAAGAAATGAAGAAGACTGACGTAGCAAACATGAGATTGGTGCTAAAGATCAATGTTGCAGTCTATAATGGGTTCTATGAAAGGTATTTATAGAGACAGTGGATTTGACAGCTGGTTTCAGAAGTCATAGCTGAAAGTTATTCGCTATATCTGGAAACCAGTTGTATACAATAAAACTTTAACACATCACTGAAAGACAAAAGCAGCATCTTTAATGCATACAAATATTCAGAAGGAAGTGCTCAGAACAGCTGAGTAAATTGTCTAGAAATGTCGTTCAGTCTCATCACTTAAGCTGAAGCCAACCATCGTACGAATATGATTGAAATATGATCAACTCTTTATTTTATCGACAATCAAAACATGTGTCCATTCAATGGTTCACTTCCGTTAAAGTTGTTTGTGCTGAACAGTATTTATGCTAATAAAGTATTCAATGCAAAGTTCAGACTGCCATTAGGCTACTGAATTGAAAAAAATGTAACAAAAACGGGATGTAAAATTATATTCCTGCAAAGACTACCGATAATTTTTCCAAGCTTCAAAATTAAGTACCTGACATTCATCAAAAGCTTCCAAGAATCTATGAAACCCAGCGATAGAATCCGCGTTAACCAAAATAGGTATACATTTTGACTGCTGGATCAAATGCATCGAATCAATCTCAAACGTATTCATAGAATAAGACCAATTTGTTCCATCTAATCAGTTTATATTATTATTACTTTTCACTTGAGTTCCTAGTGGAATATACGGCTGCACTAGCACGTCTCCATCTCACTCGAATCTCTGCAGTCTTTTCAACCTGGCGCCACAACTGCCCACAAGCTCTCATTTCCTCCTCACATGATCTCCTCCATCTCACCCTCATCTCCGATGCCCAACTCGTCGTTTCCCCTCTGGATTCCACTCGACTGCCTGGTCTGGCACATCATATCCCCAATCAGCCTCCTCAGTGTACATCCAATCCAATCCAATCCATCTCCATTTTCTTCTGCATATTTGTTGGGTGATGGGTTCTTGCTTCGTTGGTTCGTTCTCAGAGTTGCTTGTTGCTTATTCTTATTATTCTCGCCATCTATCTGATCTTCAGTGTCGAGCCAGATTAGTCTGCAGCTGTTGATGAATGTCTGTAGTTTGTTGGAAGTGCTTATCGTCACACGCCAAGTCTCTCAACCATCACATGGAAGCACTGACTTACTTGACTGACATTGGTGTTGAAAATCGGGATCTTGTTCACGCTTCATGCTGAGTGGAGTGCAGTAGATCTCCACACTGATTTCAGATTAACGACAGCATGCCTTGCTATCTTTCCAATCCTGGCTGGTTTTGACATCCTCATCCTCATCCTCATCCTCATCTGTGCCTGTACCGCCTGTAGTTGAAACGATGCTGCCTTGACTAGGTAGGTGAAAGAGACTACTTCCTTTAGGTTTCTCCCGTTCATGGTGATTGGTGTTTGTTGTTGATGCTGTTGTTGTAGGTTGGGTATCTTCATCATCTCTGTCTTCTCTGCATTCACTTGAAGTCCCGTCTTTGCTGTCTCTTCTGTCAATCAGTTTACATAGGATGGTAATAATAACAAATCTCAAACAAGACAAAGCACGCTTTCTGGATTCCGTTGCTGTACACTATGTGTAAAATGTTATCCTTGGACGATAATCATCGCCAAAGCAAGTTTACAAGCAGCAGACTATTGATGTACACTTTATCGTGTGTAGATGATTTCTGAATGAGTTTTCAACGTTTGTTATCAATTTTCATTTTAGCATATCTCACGTTAATCACCAGAAAAAATTCAGTAAAACGAAAGTCAAGATTTTTGCTTAGTCCATAGATGATATGAGAATTAGGCATTAGGATAGAATGAAATGGGCAAAACAGTAGACATATGAGAAAGTTGAGTTTAATATAGCCAATGTTATGGTGATTTTCAATCTACAACTTGGATGAATTTCATCACTAATTTTGTGTAATTTTTCTAAAACTCCTTATTAGAGTTATTTATTTGGTATATACGACACTGTGATACAGTATTATTTACCTGATGATGATTCGAGAATAAATTACTACCCCTCATAATCATATCAATAGAATCACACAAATTCCTCATCTGATTTTTAGAGTCTTCTCACCTTGTATTCCTTGTTTCTATTGGCAATCAAATTTTCCATATTTTTGGTATAGATAATGAGTCATAATTCCTATTACGTGTACTTGTTGCCTGTAGATTCGATGAACAAAGAGTCAGTAATCAGTCTAACTATTTGAAGAAAAATAACAATCGGTATAGCACTAGTTAACTAGTTCACTAGTTACTAGCCGGTCCTAAGCCCGGATAAAGAGGGAACGTTGCGCATAGAGCTAACAACCCTACACCTGAAAACCAATTCAAACACCAAAGAAACTTCAAAGCACACACAAAATATAAAAAAATAAAAGCAAACATATTCTTCTCTGGAATCGGAGAGACGAAATGATGTCCGTTGATGAAAGCCTTCGGGAAGTCAATTAACCACGACCACAAGGAGGGATTAGCTGTCATGATGTCCCGAAGAGCATCGAAGCCTCTCATACAGTGGGAACCAATCTCCTCGTGCAGCATCAGGATCATTACAGTAAGATGGATTCAACTCAAAAGGAAGGAAAGTCACAATCATTCAATGCCAATACTACACAAACCTACAAATAATGCAAATGAAGAGAAGAAGGAGGAATTCTACAGACAACTGCAATCAACACTGGACAAGAAAGACCCCACTGCAGTTGGCGACATCAAATCTCATTCTAATGGGTGTGGTGACATGAATGTGAAACTGGGAGTGGACAACACAGGAAGGGAAGTCATCATGGGTTGATTAGCACTCGGTGAGATGATGAGTGAGATTGGAGAACTGTTTGCAGATTTCTGCACACTGAATGATTTGGTGATTGGAGGCAGTGTGTGCAAGCACAAGGATATTCACAGAGCCAGCGACATGGATTTGATTTCACCAGACACCAGATGGACACACTACACTAAAAATCATATGGACTTCTTGTGAGTGTGAAGAAAGTGGAGAGTGAGTCAGCCTACTGGACACAAGATTAGATGAAGGAGGGGAGCAGATGTGGGTTGGGACGACTGAGTATGTAGTGCAAGGAACCTTGGAAATCAGGTTGGAAGCGTTGAAGGAAGTTGGTGATAGACGACCAGAGTTGAAGTTGAACACGGAAAGCAGAAAGTGAATGATGTAACTACAGAGGACGGACATCTTGACATCAGTCAGCGATGAGGTCAAAATTGGAGACGTTGTGCAAGATCCCTGAAGGATGGGGCGTGGAAGAAGACTGGGACTGTTTGAAAGCTGTGTGTTGAAGGAGGCCTGCATAAGCGTATTGGGAGGGAGGAGAAGAGAGGACAAGGAAGGTGTCTCGATGGAGAGATTGGAGGTGAAATAGGAAGGAGAGGGAGATGGTGGAGCAGAATACGAACCAGTGGAGTGGAGTGGAGTGGAGTGAAGTGACGTGGAGTGCAGTGCAGTGCAAGTGTGAACAGTGAAAAGAAGAACTGAGTACAAGGTATAAAACATTATGCTGGACAAAGAAGTGAAGAGGAGTGCCCGGATAGACAAGAGACACTTGTAGGATACGCTTTCAAGTGAAGCAGAACAGGCAGTTGTTAGTGGAGACCTGACCACATTATTTGAAATAACCAGGTTACTATGTGGGAGGAGATCGATTCAGCTGAAACCAATGAAAGATGGTGAATGAAACTTATTTACCACCAAAGATGAGAAAGGAAGGAAACGATGAGTTGGCCACTCCAAATGCTCTTCAATCGACCACCACCACCACCACCACCACCACCAACTGCAACGCGTCCAGAGTTAACACCAGCAGCCCAGTCACGGAATCACCAGTGAACATGAGCACTCCGATGGATGCAGAAGTGAATTCTTGAAAGCCATGAAGTTGTTGGAAGGCAGGAAAGAAGCAGGACACGATGGAACTCCTCCAGGAGCATTGAAATCAGACGCAGATACAACAGCTGACATGCTGACACCACAGCGCTTTTGCAGAAGATTGCAAGGAATGAAGGAAGGAAAGGTACCTGGCAATTGAATGGGAGAAGGGCTACCTTGTCAAGCTCCCAGAGAAGGGAGATATAAGTGTTTGCAAGAAGTGGCACGGAATCATGCTCCACCCCTGTCCACCGAAAGCAAGCAAAATATTATGCCGCATCATACTGGAGAGACTGAACAATGCTCTGAATTGAAAATCACGACGGAAACAGGCTCGCTGGCTGGTTGGCTGGCTGGCTGGCTTCAGAAAAAACAAATCATGTGTGGATCAGATCTCAACGCTACGCTACGCATCATCATAGAACAGAGCATAGAGTAACAGTCAACTGGATCTCTACCTCAACTTGACCAAGTTTGAAGAGGCCTTCGATCGAGGCGTCGACCGAGAATTGATTTGGCAGGCAGCTGCTTCTACTGCCACAAACCTTTTTAAACGTCAGTGAACAGCAGCTGTATGCTATATGATGCTACATGCCAAGTGATCCATGATGGAAATCTGAGTGATGCGTTTGAAGTGAAGAGAGGAGTAGGATGAGTCTGCTGCTTACTATCACCGATGATCTTCCAGATTTTGGTCGACTGTATCATGCAGAAAACCGTGAGGAGGGAGAAGAGGGACATACGCTGGAATGATGAAAAGACCTCAGAGAAAGATTTGTATTCCGTCAACGATGATGGTTTATGTCTAATGTCGCACAAACTCGAAGATATGCAAACGAAAGCTAACATTTGGGAGAAGAGGCAATGCAGTGAAGACGAAACTTCTTTCAGGTGAACGTAGAGAATACAGGGGTGATGAAGATACCCAACCTACAACAACAGCATCAACAACAAACACCAATCACCATGAACGGGAGAAACCTAAAGGAAGTAGTCTCTTTCACCTACCTAGTCAAGGCAGCATCGTTTCAACTACAGGCGGTACAGGCACAGATGAGGATGAGGATGAGGATGAGGATGTCAAAACCAGCCAGGATTGGAAAGATAGCAAGGCATGCTGTCGTTAATCTGAAATCAGTGTGGAGATCTACTGCACTCCACTCAGCATGAAGCGTGAACGAGATTCCGATTTTCAACACCAATGTCAGTCAAGTAAGTCAGTGCTTCTATGTGATGGTTGAGAGACTTGGCGTGTGACGATAAGCACTTCCAACAAACTACAGACATTCATCAACAGCTGCAGACTAATCTGGCTCGACACTGAAGATCAGATAGATGGCGAGAATAATAAGAATAAGCAACAAGCAACTCTGAGAACGAACCAACGAAGCAAGAACCCATCACCCAACAAATATGCAGAAGAAAATGGAGATGGATTGGATTGGATTGGATGTACACTGAGGAGGCTGATTGGGGATATGATGTGCCAGACCAGGCAGTCGAGTGGAATCCAGAGGGGAAACGACGAGTTGGGCATCGGAGATGAGGGTGAGATGGAGGAGATCATGTGAGGAGGAAATGAGAGCTTGTGGGCAGTTGTGGCGCCAGGTTGAAAAGACTGCAGAGATTCGAGTGAGATGGAGACGTGCTAGTGCAGCCGTATGTTCCACTAGGAACTCAAGAGAAAATTAATACTGCTGGTGATAATGTCTAACAACATTCTGCCACAGTGCTGATGTTGTAGACTCATATTTATTTTTCTATATTCACATTATTATAAATGTCTCGTAAAGTCACTGAGTGTTTTACATATCATGGGAAATACTCGCGATTCAGCGTCCGAATCATCATATTTGAGGGAAAACCTTTATCTGGTTAGTAATGTAATATGATGCTGATGCAATATCCACTTCAAGCTTCTGTTATATTTAACTTCTGTCAATTTATTCTGGTTGAAACTATAACTTAGTAAGGTCACTGATATATTGATTTTGCAAATGTACATTCATCAGTGGCCTTCATATTACTTCAATATGTCATACTCTACTTTGTAGACAAAACTACTTTGTATCTCTTGAAATGTTGCCTTAAAAATTGAGTTAAATGCTAAAACTTTTATCCCGGTACTAATTAGAAATATAAAAACTTTCAGTAACTTTTCAGCTGTCACTTAGATCAGTTAAGTATACCGTTCAGTGCTTATTTGACCGACACAGTTAAATGGTACATTGAACCTTCAGTAGAAACACTACTCACCTATCTTCAATGCTTTTTCTGGATCTGCCACTGCATCAATATAAACATGACAAACTCCAGCTCCATGTCCCATCACAGGTACTCCAGTTCCTGCTTTATTGGCTGCATTACGTATACTTTCTATCATTTTTGAACTGCCTCGTGGAATAACTAAATCAACTAATGGTTGCTTGTCTACACCACACAAAACAAGATCAACATCTTTTCGGCCTTCAAGTAGTCCAACAGCTCCAGGTGGCAGGTTAGCCATTTCTAAAGATTCACCAACAAGTCGATGAAGTACACGAACAGTATGCATTGCTTCTGATCCAGGTTTCGCTAATAAACCATTAGCAGTAGCAATTGAAAGGGCAGCAACCTAGAAATGATACAATTAATTTATCAGTAACATGACAGTATAAGGAAATTTAGTTATGTTCTTAAGTTTATTCCTGATCACTTCAAGTTATTGCATGGCAGCAGAAAACAACTTGATCTAAACACTCTTTTTCATTAGTTAGTTTCGAAATTTCCCTAATTCTTCAACAATTTTCACTTTGTTTAAGACAGGTTACAGTGTAGTGAAGGGCAAAATTCTCACTTGTAGACATCAATAAGATGAAAAAACAAAGTAAAAAGAAAGCGAAACACTAAATTGCAATGTGAAGCCGACTGATATAAGTAGTTGTAGATCACTCACCCTTTACCAGGTGTGGCAGATAGCCAGATCAAGGTATTCTAAACACTGGCCGATGGTTTCGCTCGTTAAAAGCCAAGCCAACCAACTGCATACCTCGGAGAGCCCACCCTATTTCGGCTAGATACTTTAGCGGACTGGTTGAGATCACTGTAGTCTGGCGGAATTCGAGTGATTTGAACAACCCACCTCTCTTAGCTGAGTCGATTTGGGTACACAGCTAATAAGGTAGCCCCTAATGAGCAAAACAGCTGTCCACTTTTTAGATCACCGTGATGAGGCTAATGAGCACTGTTGATCGACTGGAGTGGTCTGGAACTGTTAATGTTAGTCAGTAGTATATTCTCTAGAGCCTCACACCAATTATGGTGTCGAGCAGATCCCATTATATGATCTAAATATTTGGTTTCCACAGAAAATCACGGTGAGATTCATTAACATGGACGGCATATTCTGAAAACACCTAATTTGAAATTAGATTGTGATGTTGAAATCGCTATTTCGCTGTTGTTCTGGTGATGATTTATATTTCGGTGTGTTGCAATCACTTCAAAGTTCCTAGGCTACAGTAACAGTCATCCGCAGTTCATCTTGTTGCCTCTTTGTTTTCTGTACTTTCTAGAATCATAATACCAACTAATTAAAACATAATACCACTGTGCTGTTGAAGACAACGGGAGAACACGAAACTTGTTACCAGAGTGCAAAATGTTACGGAAACTATTTTGGCATTAGAATGAATTAAAACGGTCACTCTAAGAGTGACATGCAAAACCTGTGAATACATTTTACAAGTTTCTAACCACCGTGGAAACACCACTTTGATAATAGCTACAAATACGCTTAGCTGATACCTGCCAACGAGTCAGAAACCTAAGTCTAGGACATCCTGCCGATAGACTGTCACCACATAACCCTTCATAGAAATGTTCTGGATTAGTATTGTACTTTTCCTGGACTGTTTCGAAGTGCTGATTGTTTAGATAAAACTAGCTACAGAGAAAAGTGTATTAAAGACTGAGAAAAGCAGAAGCAAAATCATTGAGCCATTTACTTCCACTATTAAATGGAACTTTTATCGATATCTTCCACTTCAAGTCTTAAGTGCTGTTACTGGTTGGGTATATTTAAGTATGAGAAACGCTGTTTAGGCCAACCTTTATGGAAGTTTATTTTTTATCATCCCATCATTAAGTTAAACAGCTGTCAGTGTATATCTGTTAGGAACTAATATATATGTAGCTATGAGCTACAGAACATTTTGTTCTTACAATGGACAGAAATAATCAGCCACTGAAGATATTGGTGTTGTTTGTGCATGCGTATGTGTAACTTCAGAAAAATCCGAACTTTTCTGAATTATTTTATTTTCCAATCATTTTTGTCGTCAACCGGCTAAAGACGTGATGTCCCTGTTAAAAATGATAACTCCAATTAGTGGTCTGGATAAACTTTAATAGTTCGCTAGTAGTATTCGTCTTACACTTTACAGGATTAGATGAATTCTATCAGCTCTGGAATATCAACGTCACTGTACAACTACACTTGATCGGATTCAATGTCTTCGTCAAGATTTTCGATCATTTAATTAGCGCACAAGACGGTCTTTTGTAACCTACTGATTGTGTTAGTTAACTGAAGCTTGTTAATCCGTCTAGTAAATGACAAGTTTTTTTCAATTTTAGAGGTTTATGGGGAATTATTCACTTCAAGTTGGTATTCATCACGTACTGATATCAGTTGAGTGACTATCGAGAACGTGTTTCAATGGTCCAGTGGAACTTAAAGGTCTTGGGTACACACTGTTGATAAGTTTGTGTTTTGTTTTTCTATGACTGAAAGCATTAACCAGTCAACATGAAATGTAACATATCACTAAGTTTTATTTGCAAAAAGTTTTTGTAACACGGTATTCTATGCGTTTAGTTGTCACAAAAAGAATCACTCCTATATTACCAGATATTCACTTTGTGTGACCGACGGCGTATAATATCTTGTCATTAGTTAAAATACAAGGAAGGTCGAATGACATATCATATAGAGTTTTTTTGACTTTCCAACTGTAATTTTCTTCAATGAAACAAAATAGTCATTTCAGTGTCAATAAGCCATAAAAGATTCTAATGTTGTTGCTTGTACATCCGTCTGACGAGTCTTAAACAGAACGAAACATAAGTCCTGGATTCCGCTGGTAGCCACTATCCATCATTAATACATAACGTACCCTCTCCAAAACAAGATTATACTATCTAAAGTTATTAAGTTTAATCCACTTCAAATTGTATACACTGTGTGCAGATGTATGATCGAAAAAGATTACCTATTCTTAGTTATATCACTGAAATAACTCAGTTTCTCAGTGATGAAAGAAGGAAGTGATGAATTGATTTCGACAAATCATATGACCAAAACATGCGATTGTTACTTACAACAGATAATTCTATGAATGGCTGTTAAATTTTTATCATTTGCCAGTTTGTTAATCGACATCTGAATAGCTCAGCAGTAGCGTCACTGACTACCACACTAGGTGATGTGGTTTCAAATCTCAGGCGGGACATCATTTCTTCTGAGGTTTCAGATACTCCTTTCTAACGAGTACTAACAAATATGAAACCTAGGTTGGATAGGGCTTCCTATTGTCTTCTATATCCAACCATCTAATATCCTTCTAAATGCTCCGCGATGGTCACCTTCCTAGCTTGATGTGCACACCGATAAACGATCTGCAGAATTCGGTTACTACTCAGAACTAGATAACAAGAAATTGGTTGCTGTGCAATGACCAATAAATGTAGACCTTAATGGAGTTAATAAAATAATACCTCTGAACTTCTTTCATAAATACAATTTTATCTGAAACTTCTAAGATAATAAGCCATTCACTTGTTTATCGTGGCTAAGGTTGGGAACTAGACAAGCACCTATTTACCCTGCAAAAGAAAATAATTGCAAAGTTTTTTAGGATATATCTAATGGATCTTGTAAAAACTGATTTCAGGTTGGTATGCATCATAGACTGACATAAATTGGAAGAACATTGGAAAACTGGGAACACTGGACGGCTGTTTCAGCCTAGTATGGAACTTCTCAAAAGTGAGCACCCATGACCCCATCTCCCCACCACTGATCGAAACCCGGACCTTTGGGTTCCGTGGCTAGCACGTTACGTTTGAGCTGATAGAAAAATAAACCGTTGGATTCTGACCCAGTGGCTTAATGGTAACGTGGTAGCCATGGAACTCAAAGGTCCGAGGCTTGATCTGTGGTGGGATGGGTGGGGTTGTGGGCACACTGCTGGGGAGTTTCGTACTGGGACGAAACAGCTATGCAGTGCTCCCAGGTTCCCAGTGTTACTTTAACCGATATCATTCCACGTTAAATACCAACTTGAAATCAATGAATCCCCATAAACCCCCAAAATGAAAAAGCTAACTTACCTGTGGTAAACAGTCAGGTCGTGATTCAAAAATGACCATCAATGCACCAATCGGTGCAGTGACTTTCTCTAAAACCAAGTTGTCAGCCAATTTAGTACGTGACAAAACACATCCAACATGACCATTACGTTTGCGTGATTGAGCTGCAATTTGTCTCAATCCTTCACTTAATGTTTTAATCTTAGAATGACCAAGTTGAAGTCTAGCCACTAGAGTGGGCGATAAACCTATGAAATGAACACAAGAAAATAATGTAACAGTGGAATAAGTTCATTCAGTTATTGAGAATGTAGGAAGACAATTTCAGAAATGAAATTATCATTATTCACATTTCTGGACTAAAGTTTGACCAATCTGTTGGAAAATGAGTTAGAATAAGATAGTTTTGAAGCGTAGTGGAAGGATTGGGAATTAGCAGATGAATGTTTCAACTGTGTGTCGGAGGGAACTGAGAAAAGTTATTTTGTTCGTCATGGATTTCTAGTCTCTGTTTTTTTCCAAAAGATCCTTTTGATCAGCTAATCCATGCTTAATTTCAAAATTTCCAAAGTTTTCACATGGGTTTTCATCACAAGTCAACCTTAGTTAGAGAACTATTGAAAACCTATGGACATTTGATATCTGTTATGTTCTTGTTTGTGACTCCTCTGCAGTACGTATTGGTGATCCTATGAGGCATAAGATCCATGGCTATTAGGTCTCATGTCTTCAACTTCCACTTTATAGTCTATTATTGCTGTGACGTATTTCTACTACCCTTGTGAATTTGGCCATCAGCAGGGAAGTCACCTAGAGCACTACATTATTTGAATTGTTTATTTATGCAAAACTTTGGAAATGAGTTCACTCAAGGAGATGAAAAGGAGTAATCCGATTTTAAAAGAAATTATAAGCTAATTACCGTTGGGATATAAAAACACTTAGTATCTACAATCTAAAGCAGCTACCATTTCTTCACATATACTGTTTGTAGTACTTCAGATATACAAGAATCATGCAAAACTCAGTTTTTGGAGATTACTTAGTAGAAAGTTATATACTCGACTTCTATACTAACCGATACGCACTGAACTTCGTGTTATTCGTGTGAGATTTCAGCCCATAGGAAATCTATGCTTTGGAATGTCTGTCTTTTGTCATCAAATATCTGTCAATGAACTGGGATTTTATCATGTTTGGAATCAACATTCTTTCAACGAATAACTGGCTTTAGTTAAGATAGTGAACTAATGTCCCACTTTGGTTGTCATCAAATACCTTATGTGTATGTGTACAAAAATTATACAGATGAAAAAATATCCGGTTTGACAGGCTTAATGATTCCTCTGGGGAAATTAGCATTCAATAAAACATAGTGGGTTTTCTTCAAACTATTCTGAGTTCACATTTTTTCGAATAGAAACTCCTGACTGTTTAGATAAAAAAACACGCTGTTAGAAATGAAGATTTATGGGGACTTTATAAAATAAAGCAAATATCCGTAGTTTGAGACCCACTCTACCTTTAAGATCTGGAGACTTTAATCTGATGGACTGAGTTGAAATTCTTAGGCTGTAATACCTGGAATTATCTTATATGAATATTCATTTTCGTAATTCATTTGTAAGCCAATTAAAGTGCCCCATAAATCATGGTTATATCTGCTGCTTAGCTTAATTTAAAGTAAACCATACAATGGTTTACCATTTGTCTTTCTTGCTTATAAAATCTGTTGGACTATAGAAATTGTTTCGTGGTTAAGAGTGAAACTAGTCACTTTTAATCAGGGGATTTTCTTATTCTGGTAAACCATTTGGCACAATCAATTTGTTAATCAATTCATAGGGAAATCTTTAGAGTAATATATCACACTTGTCCTCTAATATGCTATAGTGTGAATAATAAGTTGTTCTTACTGATCATTAAGTTAAGGTGACCTGCTAAAATCTTCGGCTACCAAAGAACTTTACACAAATTATATTCCATCAAATTCTTCCCTTTTAGTTTGTTTTAATCGTTTAAATATCTTCTGAACGCATCATGTACTTCTGTACGTTTTTAAAATGTTTTCTAACTTTCTTTTCTCAAGTTAAGAATAAAACGAAGGAAAAACGTTCCACCGGTTGGAAATGGATTTATAAAGGCTCAAAAATACGCAAAATTATTGTTCCTAGGATATCTGTATGCGACTGTGAAGTCTTGTGCTGGCTGACTAAATTGTCTCCATTGAAATTACACTTGATTTTGTGTTAATTTCCAAATAGAGAACAGATACTAATGTAACACTAACTGCCCGTTTCACACTTTTTACCTTCAATACTATTATTATTATTAGCACTACGCAGAAGTAATAATTATTTCTTTTAAAAATTTTGTACGGAAAGCAAATTTATTCAAATATTCTATGCTGCAAAATTCTATTCTGTATCATACATGCTGTTTGGAGTAAAGGTATTATTATTATTATTATTATTATTATTCCAATATGCGTTAATTACTTCACTCGCTTTTATGGAGCCCAGATATACAGGTTGTTCTTTGGGGGCCTATCCTTCATCGTACTGGAGAAAATTTCTCTGTAGGGCTTAGAGTAAAAAGTTAGACATTTCAATCACTTCATCTATTTCAGGTCATTCAATTTCAAATACCAGTTTGTATATCATTTGTAAAATTGAAACGAACTTCCTTAAAGATTAACATCGTCATTTAATGTATTTCAGAGAATTTGACAATTCATAGTTTAGATCCACAGCTACACATCCAAGGTGAGTTTTGAAGTATCTTCCCTTGCTGTGATCAGTGTTTTACAGTCCCCCACTTCTGTCAATTAATGAAATAGCGTGAATACCTACCAACGTCTTCAATAAGCAACCGCTTCACTTATTATTAACCTCACCTGCTTAACTAGTTCACTAGTTACTAGCCGGTCCTAAGCCCGGATAAAGAGGGAACGTTGCGCATAGAGCTAACAACCCTACACCTGAAAACCAATTCAAACACCAAAGAAACTTCAAAGCACACACAAAATATAAAAAATAAAAGCAAACATATTCTTCTCTGGAATCGGAGAGACGAAATGATGTCCGTTGATGAAAGCCTTCGGGAAGTCAATTAACCACGACCACAAGGAGGGATTAGCTGTCATGATGTCCCGAAGAGCATCGAAGCCTCTCATATAGTGGGAACCAATCTCCACCACGATCAGGGTCATTACAGTAAGATGGATTCAACTCAAAAGGAAGGAAAGTCACAATCATTCAATGCCAATACTACACAAACCTACAAATAATGCAAATGAAGAGAAGAAGGAGGAATTCTACAGACAACTGCAATCAACACTGGACAAGAAAGACCCCACTGCAGTTGGCGACATCGAATTCCATTCTAATGGGTGGGGTGACATGAATGCGAAACTGGGAGTGGACAACACAGGAAGAGAAGTCATCACTGGTTGGTTGGCACTCGGTGAGATGATGAGTGAGATTGGAGAACTGTTTGCAGATTTCTGCACACTCAACGATTTGGTGATTGGAGGCAGTGTGTGCAAGCACAAGGATATTCACAGAGCCAGCGACATGGATTTGATTTCACCAGACACCAGATGGACACACTACACTAAAAATCATATGGACTTCTTGTGAGTGTGAAGAAAGTGGAGAGTGAGTCAGCCTACTGGACACAAGATTAGATGAAGGAGGGGAGCAGATGTAGGTTGGGACGACTGAGTATGTAGTGCAAGGAACCTTGGAAATCAGGTTGGAAGCGTTGAAGGAAGTTGGTGATAGACGACCAGAGTTGAAGTTGAACACGGAAAGCAGAAAGTGAATGATGTAACTACAGAGGACGGACATCTTGACATCAGTCAGCGATGAGGTCAAAATTGGAGACGTTGTGCAAGATCCCTGAAGGATGGGGCGTGGAAGAAGACTGGGACTGTTTGAAAGCTGTGTGTTGAAGGAGGCCTGCATAAGCGTATTGGGAGGGAGGAGAAGAGAGGACAAGGAAGGTGTCTCGATGGAGAGATTGGAGGTGAAATAGGAAGGAGAGGGAGATGGTGGAGCAGAATATGAACCAGTAGAGTGCAGTGTAGTGCAGTGCAAGTGTGAACAGTGAAAAGAAGAACTGAGTACAAGGTATAAAACATTATGCTGGACAAATAAGTGAAGAGGAGTGCCCGGATAGACAAGAGACACTTGTAGGATACGCTTTCAAGTGAAGCAGAACAGGCAGTTGTTAGTGGAGACCTGACCACATTATTTGAAATAACCAGGTTACTATGTGGGAAGAGATCGATTCAGCTGAAACCAATGAAAGATGGTGAATGAAACTTATTTACCACCAAAGATGAGAAAGGAAGGAAACGATGAGTTGGCCACTCCAAATGCTCTTCAATCGACCACCACCACCACCACCACCACCACCACCAACTGCAACGCGTCCAGAGTTAACACCAGCAGCCCAGACACGGAATCACCAGTGAACATGAGCACTCCGATGGATGCAGAAGTGAATTCTTGAAAGCCATGAAGTTGTTGGAAGGCAGGAAAGAAGCAGGACACGATGGAACTCCTCCAGGAGCATTGAAATCAGACGCAGATACAACAGCTGACATGCTGACACCACAGCGCTTTTGCAGAAGATTGCAAGGAATGAAGGAAGGAAAGGTACCTGGCAATTGAATGGGAGAAGGGCTACCTTGTCAAGCTCCCAGAGAAGGGAGATATAAGTGTTTGCAAGAAGTGGCACGGAATCATGCTCCACCCCTGTCCACCGAAAGCAAGCAAAATATTATGCCGCATCATACTGGAGAGACTGAACAATGCTCTGAATTGAAAATCACGACGGAAACAGGCTCGCTGGCTGGTTGGCTGGCTGGCTGGCTTCAGAAAAAACAAATCATGTGTGGATCAGATCTCAACGCTACGCTACGCATCATCATAGAACAGAGCATAGAATAACAGTCAACTGGATCTCTACCTCAACTTGATCAACTTTGAAGAGGCCTTCGATCGAGGCGTCGACCGAGAATTGATTTGGCAGGCAGCTGCTTCTACACTATGGTTTCAGTGCCACAAACCCTTATCAACCCCATTCAACAGCAGCAGTATGGCACATGATGCTACATGCCAAGTGATCCATGATGGAAGTCTGAGTGATGCGTTTGAAGTGAAGAGAGGAGTAGGATGAGTCTGCTGCTTACTATCACCAATGATCTTCCTAATTGTGGTCGACTGTATCATGCAATAAACTGTGGGGAGTGAGAAGAGGGGGATAGGCTGGACTGCGGAAAATATCCTAGGAGATGTGGATTCTGCAGATGACCTGTGTCTAATGTCACGCAAACTTGAATATCTACAGACGAAAACTAACAAGTTGACAGAAGAGGCAATGTAGTGAAGACGAGACTTCTTTCAGGTGAATGCAGAGAATACAGGGTGATGAAGATACCCAACCTACAACAACAGCATCAACAACAAACACCAATCACCATGAACGGGAGAAACCTAAAGGAAGTAGTCTCTTTCACCTACCTAGTCAAGGCAGCATCGTTTCAACTACAGGCGGTACAGACACAGATGAAGATGAGGATGAGGATGAGGATGTCAAAACTAGCCATGATTGGAAAGATAGCAAGATATGCTGTCGTTAATCTGAAGTCAGTGTGGAGATCTACTGCACTCCACTCAGCATGAAGCGTGAACAAGACTCGGATTTTCAACACCAACGTCAAGTCAGTGCTTCTGTATAGCTCAGAGACTTGGCGCCTTACGAAACTCAGATAGGAAACGCGAGTTGAGAGTCCGAGGCGAGGGTGAGATGGAGGAGATCATGTGAGGAAGAAATGAGAGATTGAGGGCTGTCGTGGAGCCAGGTTCGAAAGATTGCACAGAACAGAGTTCACTGGAAACATGCTACTGAAGCCGTATGTTCCACTAGAAACCCAAGCGACAAATAATAATAATCACTTCCAATTGGCTGATCTAAGATGGTCACGGCTTCTCATCATAACTTTAGGATATCCATGACTAATGAACAATACACATTAGTGTGATTTGAGGTCTATGGGGATTTTATATATATCAAGGTTGTATTCATCATGGGCTGACATGAGTTGGAGAAGCAAATGAAGACCTTCATGGATAGTCACACTGCAGAGTGAACTGAGAGAAGCAAGAAACTCTGGATCATTGAACTCTGACTCTGTGACTTAGTGGTTAATACGTTCTGCACGAGACCTGAAGGTTCTGAGATCGATCCCCAGATGGGTCGTGGGTATGTAAGCCTGATGAGCCATATACTAGGACGAAAAAGCTATCCAATGCTCTTAGGCTTTGAATATATATATATATATATATATATATATATATATATATATATATATATATATATATATATATATATAAAAATGGCGGTTGTGTCGACTGCTAGGGTAGGTGTTCTGGAAACACCTCAGCTTCGTGTTATGTAAGTTAATTGTTTTAATTGATTTCAGTATATTCAACTTGCTCCTATTTATAAAACTTTGTCTACAAGTTTTTTTTTCAAGTTGATCAAACTGAAAATTAAGTTCGTCTATTCTATCCTTTGCAGCGTCATGGTTTGTGTTTATTTCGGATCTCCTCGAAGTGAATGCTCATCACTTTCATTATGTCCATTCTGCTGTCACACTTACTCAACTAGAGTATAACTTGCTATCGTTTAGGTTTATACTGGGTGATAACTGAAGGTGAAATGAAAATCTGGACTACGGCCGGATTCGAATTAACGACCATCGAGTTTTCAGTCCCATGCTCCATCAACTGAGCTACGAGGTCCGACCACTGACGTGATTTTATTTTATTCCAGTCATCAAGGGTTTTTCCCGATTACCATGACTACCTCAGATAGTCAAAATGATAATCAGTAGGATCCTTCCCCTTTCTAATTCAGTTACATTTGGATTGGGATGAGAAGTCTTGACTAGACAGCCAGTCTGAATGCGATCATGCAGTAGTTACGCATCGCGAATTCACATGGTAGTGGGGCAAAACCCTTGATGATTGAAGTGAAATAAAAGTTTGGTTAGCAGTTGGACCTCGTAGGTGAGTTGGTAAAGCATTGGACCGGAAACCCGAAGTTCGCTGGTTCGAATCCCATTGCTGTCTAAGTTTCCATTTCACTTTTAATCACCACCCAGTATCAATGCTGATCTGCCAAACCACGGCCATCTCAGATAGTCAAATAATAATGTTTAGGTTTGTCAAGTGTAAGCTAAGAGTTATACATAAGTATTATTCACAGCTATGAAATTGATTTGAAGTGGAAAAGTAATGTGAAATATAAAATTGTCATTGAACTTACCAGCTGTTTCTGCTTCCTTTATGTCTTTTTCATTTTCGGAGATTATTTCATCTTCATTTTGTATGAGTTTATCAGCTAAATATTCAATTGCTTTTGCTCTGTTTTGAGGATCTGAGGAGTTTAGTAGCATGCTAGCTTCTCGAGCTTGTAGTAAAAAGAGAAACCAGAGTTTTAGTACAACCGTAGGTAGATACGTGAATATTTCATGAACTACGTGTTTACATGGGGACCAGCTTACAGTAAACTATTTCTTTTTGTCTACATCTCAGTTCACTGATAGTTAAGTGGTCATTAGCTGCAGACTAGGATTTGACAAGTGATGGTTAAGTATGATGTGAAAGGTATTGCCTAAACTGATGGAGTTTGTGGTGTTCATTCCTTCTGAAAGCTGAGTTACAGAGAAGCAATCAGTCGACAGTTTGTTTAAACTAATTTTAGCAATGTTTTATACTTTTAGAGAAAATTATTACACACAATCAGTTAAATTGAACTGACACTTAAGAATGAACTTCGAGTTTATTTTCGTCGATTAATTGTGAGATGATCTTCGGTTAATCAGGTAAGTAAGTGAACAGTACGGCAGATATTGCACAACACCAGTAGGAAAGAAGACTGAAGGTGCAACCATTATTTTAACAATAGATAATTTCAAGCAGATTAGGTTATGAGACAACTAGTATTCCATTTTAAGTTACCGCCCAATCAGTTTTGCACTTTAAATCGGGTGAATAATGATTTTGAATCCGTAAGTTAAACGATTGATCGAATGACTTGTTCATTATTCTACAGATAGCTGTTATTATAACTTATGTGGTGATTTTTGTATATAAGGTGATGGAGTTGGAATATAATTGGCAATTATTTCAGTAGAAATGTCACTGTTAACCGGATTGAATTTCGCAGGGGTGGGAGTAGGTGGGTTAGGGCAGAGTGGCGCATAAACTTTTGCAGGAGACGTACGTACAGAAAATTATGATTGTGTTCTATGAACTCTGAGTTTCATTCTTGAACGCTTCGGGACCAGGCTAGGCGCCTTCATCAGGATTTAATTAGTGTAGAAGTGAAGTATTTTTAAGTTAGGAGAATGTCTATGAAAGATATTTGTCGTTATTAGCTTGTGGTTATTAATGACCTAACCTTTTTTTTATCAGACGTCGACTTCTATAGTGGTTTTCACCATATAAACTTTGCTTTTGACCTAATGCTTAATTATTGACTTTATTGACTAATTACCAATTAGTTGATCCCTTCTTAGTAGTTCGTATATATTGCGTCAATTTCCATTTGTCTGTTATTACCATTCAGTTTGAATACTATGCTCCCAGGGATTCTCTAGAAGTTTTCAAACTCGCTTTTTGCAGTTTTTCCATGTTGTAGCAATCAGAGTTGTGGTTGTATTCATTTACATAAATTGAAATCAATAAGGATATATCATGCTGCTTGTACTCATAATTTCTGTCTTATTCACTGAATGGATTGGTCAATAAAGTGACGTTTACAGACTTTGTAATGCATTTTGTAAATTATGTTCATCTTTTCTTCTTTGGGTAATGCATTTATTGGGTTGCGTAATATGCTGTACATGAATTTAGTTGGTTTGTGCTCTACGTTGAATACTTAGGTGGTGAATTAATCGGTCGGCAGTTTTTCAGACACCTTTGATGCATGGTAAAGTGATTCGTTTTGTAGGTTCAAGCAATTTTCCTTATATGTATATATATTCCATTGATAGAAATTTCCTGATGAATTTGGTTGGATCATCATTGGCTTTGAACACTTGATGAAATTGGTTTTCTTGTGACTTCTACAGTTGTTGGGTGCTGTCACGGTTCTTAGTTGTTCATTCATATAACTGTTTGACGAGAATATTTGCAGCGTGCACATAACTTGACCAGTCAATTTTCAACCTTCAACAATCGAATCAAGGTTCATTTATCATCAACTTACTTTATGAGATTCAAGCCTTCTATTTACATTTAATTCAGTATTGTAAAAAGTTTGTTTAGAGACGGTGGCAACTACATATAGTTCAGTCTGAAAGTGGTCATACTTTACAGGTATTCTGATTATTTAGATTAAAAGAAGAGGCATATCTCTATGCTATACCAAACATAGTGTGCAACATCATCAAACACATCTTATTCATCCTTATTTTATTTAATGAATAATTTAACTCTCTGAAGTCTTATGAGATGCATAGACGCCTCAGTATAGATAATTCTTATTAATTAACCGCTGAAATTACTGGTTACCGTTCATCTTTAGTTTTCTGCTTTACCTTCCCATGTACCATGTAGATTATGAATATGCATAATTCATACTCATTACTTATTTTATTCAACAAAAAGACGGAAAAGAAATCACTAAATTTTATCACAAACAGCAAAATATTGTAGATGTATGTGTATAGTATGTTAAATAAATGTCCATTTGATCGAATAAAGTAAATACTTCTTATATGAATGCATAACTTAATACTTATGAAGTTAGACAATGTGACTTTGTAGTCGGCATTTTGCCTCATTTAAAGGTAAATGTCTAGAAGGAATGGCATTGATGGCGAATAACTTCGATGCACGAAACAGTTCAATGGTCTAGATATTAATTCTTTTTAATGGCACTAGTAGCAAATTATTTTCGTGTATACTAGACAACTAGAGAAAACCGCAGTCTATTTTGGAACTGGGATGAAAGTTTGATAAGACAATAAATACAAGTGTAAAATTTGGGCACTGTAGCGGAATATGATTCCATGTTAGACTTGTTTATTTGATATAGCTAGCATACAGTGATACAGTATTACTTAAGTGATGACCTTGAGTATAAATTATTGCTCATAATTATATCAATGTAATCGCATAGTTGGTATTTTTTGATTTTAGTAGTAGCGAAATTTTCCACATCTCTGGTATAGATACTGCATCATTCCTATTAAATGTATTGGGTGCTGATTAGATGAATAAAGATTCCGTAGTCAATCTCTCTCCCTGTCTCGTTACACTGAACTTCAATGCAGCGGTTTAATCCCACCCTATTGTGTGGTCGTGTGTTAATCCATGGATTGCAATAGCCGAGGATTTTTATAGACTATTCATTCTGCTGAGATCTATCATTCTACATTTGGTCAAATTCCTATGTTCCAATGATTCAACTTACCCTGGTCAACTTGTACTTCAACCCCCCCTCTATCATTATCATAGATTTGGTGGATTAGACTATTTCCCTTCATTGGATCTATTGGATCCTTGAGGTGATAAAGCTCATCTGTGAGTGAGTTTTTAGCTTTAATTTTCACCCTAATTCCAGTTTTGTTGAGAAACCTACCTAGAGTTTCTGATGTTCCTACCTTATACGGTAGCACATTAGAGGCTTTGAACTCCTTTCTACTCATATTGTCGTTATTATTCATAATCGTATGACTGTTATTATTTCGTCTTTATATGTTCATACTAATTTCTTAATAAACAGTGGAGGATAATTATTAAGGCTTCTTTAATCTGTTTTACTTCTTTATTTAAGTCGTTGCACGAACCAATGAGTTTCCTAGCCTGATCATTTAGATATTTGACTAAACCTACCATGAATTTTGAGGGAGTTGTGGGGATTTGGAAATATTTCAGGTTGTTATTCATTGTAGACTGACATCAGTTGGAGGAACAGAAGGAAACTGGGAGCACTGGACCGCTGTTTCGTCCGACTAGCATGGGGCTACTCAGCAGTGCACACCCACGACCCCGCCAGGGATCGAACCCGCAACCATCAGGTTCCCTGGCCAGCTATTTTACCATTGGGCCACTGGGTCAGAATCCAATGCTCCATATTTCCAACTTCTGTTAGCTCACAATATAGCACAACCGCCACCCAATGTCATCGCTGAGCAACTGTCCTCACGACCGTCAGGCTAGCCCCACCGGTCACGACTTCTCATTGGAACTTAGGGAACCTACCTTAACTACTATTAGGTGGGATGACCTGAAGTCTAGACACATGTTGCAATGTGTTGGATTCCTGTAGATGGTAGTATTCAAACCACCATCTGTTATTCATTTTACTCTGTAATCCAACATAGGTAATTCCCTTTGTTTGATTTCTATCTCGTAAGTAAATTGGATTGTGTCCACTACTGAGTTTACATGTGTGAGGAAATTGTCGATATGTTTTGTTTTCAACACAGTAAATGTATCATCCACATATCGTCACCATATCTAAGGTATAAGATTAAGCGTTCATAATGTTTTGATTTCATAATTAATCTTTCTGTTTGTCTGTATATTTCGTCCTGAAACTGTGGAGGTCAGACACAATTATAATCGACACAGCATGCAATAGGAATGACGGAACACCTATATCACGGACAGAAAATTCTACTACCACTAAAAACTAAAAATATGAAATGACAGGACTATAAAAATCAGATGTAGAAAGTAGTGTCATGATAATGGTATGACTATGAGCAATAATTTACGCTCTATATATCATCAAGTAAATAATACTGTAACACTGTGTTCTGGCTACATCAAATAAAGAAGTTTAATATAGAATTTAATAAGACAGACTAGTAATGTATATCTGATCGTTTGAGAATAACACTATTCTCCTTCTATTTTGAAAGCATTTCGTTCACTGTCCATGTTAAAGATGTCATAAATATACGCATTCATATCCTAAGTAATTGAGTACAGTCAACCAAAATTTACGGATTGACTTTAGAATGATGTTTGAATCTATATTATCGTCCCAAGAGTTCATGTCAAGTATAGCTAAAAAAAATGAAAGTTTAAATACGTTAAAAAGAATGAAATTCAGGTCAAAGAACTGATAACATCTTTTACGAACTATGAAACTCTGAAAAAACATGGTGTAAATCTGACCCATTTGTCTGTTATCACAATTTTTTATCTGATAGTGTATTACATAATCCATTATACAAAGAGAGTTTAATATGATATTTAAAAGTTACCTTTTGTAGCAACAAGTTTAACAGTTTGTTCACGAGCATCAACATCTTTATCAATCTGACTTTTTTCTTGTAATGTGAAAAATGTACCCACATCCATTCCATGCATCACATCAGTGATACAGTTAAATCTACTTCCTCTGATAATAACCACTGATGTTCCCTTGATAATTGAAAATAAAAAAGAATTTGAACAATACAAGAACAAAGACATTTGCAGAATAAAATAAACCCATTTTACTTCATGGCCTTTCATCAGCCGCAAACAGTCTACAGTTGATTGCCTCACCTCTTCATTAGTTACTAACTGACTATTTTCTAGTTTTTTTTCATATAATCACGTAACCTACCAGCTCGTTAACAACCCCTTCTTTTACATTGATGTTTGTTTATTGTCCCCCCACTCCACAGCTTCAGAATTGATTTCGACTAAGGTTTGTAATTATTAATCCTGTGTTCACTTGACTCACTCATTACGTCTTAGTTGTATCGCGTTCTCTGAGCTGGGTTGTTTAATCGTGACCACCCACCTGAGCTTCAAATATTCTCCACTATTTCACTCACGACGTTATTGTTAATCCTAGGTCTTAAATTTCTATTCACTTTTACATATTTAAAGCATGTTATGTCATTATTGCTACTAATACTTCGTTTGAGTTGTAGACTGTCTACAGTTGATGAAGAGTTGTGAAATCAAATGAGTTTATTTTATCCTGTTAATGTGTCTGTTCTTGCATTTTTCAAACATAAGTTTCCAGTAGTTTACTTAAAAGAATTCAGGCTATGTAAGTCGGAGATAGTATTTATCTAAAATATGTACAAGAAGATAAATAGGTTAGTATTTCAGAGATTTATTTCTACTTCACTTGGTGCTAAATCTATCAACTTGTTGGTAAACTGTACTGTTCAAACCAAGGCCGATTACCTACAGGGTCAAGTTATGTTAACAAGTTGCTCACTAAAAACTAAGCCATATGACCATGAATACTGAACTCTAAAATTAATCAATGAATCTTGATTACCAATACAGAATGAACACATATATGTACTGTTTATATTCTCTGACATTATTCTGATATTTACTTATTCTTGGATAGTTAATAATAAATGAAATTGGTAGAGGGAAGGCAAACACTACTTCACATTCTAGCACAAAACACTTGTTAATTAAATGACTCTAGGTCTGTGCTATTGTAGTTGGTGCATAATTTTTGTTGCCTCAAAGGTATGCACTATCCAGAATTCCATACTAAAGTAAAACAGCTGTTCAGTGCTATCGGGTTTCCAATGGTCCTCCAGCTGATGTCAGTCCATGATGAATTTCATTATTATTTGTTCTTTGCGTTCCTAGTGGAACATGGGGCTTCAGTAGCTCATCGCCATGTCACTCTGTTTTCTGCAGTCTTTTCAACCTGGGCAGTCCACGACTGCCCACAACTCTTCATTTCTTCCTCACATGATCTCCTTCATGTCACCCTCGCCTCGAACGCCCAACTTGTCGTTTTCACTTTGGATTCCACTCGACGGCCTGGCGCATGATGTCCCCAACCGGTCTTCTCAGTGTATGTCCAGTCCAATGTATGTCTGTAGTTTGTTGGAAATGCTTTCGTAACGCACCACGTCTCTCAACCATCACATAGAAGCACTGACTTGACTGACTTAGTGTTGAAAATCCGGATCTTGATCTTCATGCTGACTGCAGTGCAGTGCGTGCAGTAGGTCTCCACACTCATTTCAGATTAATGAAGGAAGGCCCGTCTTACTGTCTTTCTGATCCTGACTTTGACATCCTCATCTGTGCTTGTGCCACCTGCAGTTGAAACGATGGTGCCTAGGTAGGTAGGTAGGTAAGTAGGTGTGGGGTGGTAGGTAGGTAGCTAGGTATGTCAAGGAGATAACTTCATTTAGATTTCCTCCCTTTGATGGTGATTGGTGCTTATTGTTATTGATGTTGTTATTGGTTGCGTATCTTCATCACCTCTTTCATCTCTAGGATCACTTGAAGTCCTGTCTTTGATGTCTCGTCCGTGATGAATACTACCTCAAAATTCAGATCCTCATTGACCTCAGTATACATCACTGTGTATTGCTCATTAGTGACATTCTTTCAGATGGACATCCTGAAGTTCTAATGAAAGACAGTGACATGTGGGATCAACCAGTCGGAAGGGAAGCGGATGTTAACTCAAGACATTTGGTGATAGTCGCGCTATATCCTGAATTGACAAAAGTTGGAAAATGTGAAGCACTGAACTCCAACTCGGTGACCGAATGGTTAATATGCTTTCCATGAGATCTGAAAGTAGTAAGTCCGATCTCTGGTGAGGTTATGGGTGCATACTACTGTAGAGTTCCATACTAGGACGAAACAGCTGTTGAATGCTCCCGGATTTTATGAGGTTCTCTAACTTGTGTCAGTTAGTGGTCAATACTATCTTGAAATATTAGCAGAAGTTTTATTTTATCTAAGGTGAACTGGTCTTCGAAAATTGTATGAGTTTTATTGTCTTATGGTAGATAAAAGTATATTGTTTTGAAAAATCTTGGCATCACAATAATATAATTTATTACACTAGGCAGTTTCTTTCTGTTTTATCTCAGCCGTATTTATTAAAACAAACGCAATGAAAGAAATTATAAGTATTTTATATGGTTCTTTTGTCTAAGAGGATCATTTAAAAAAGTATAAATGTAGTATTAAGATTTCCAGCTAAAACAATGCGTAACATGGCTACCGCTATGCTCCATTATTGTGTAGACCATTTAGTTATCTACATCTAAGCTGTTTTCATGTCTCTTCTCTTTGATCATATGCCTCCTTGGTGTCGACAGCCGCTAGTCTATCACGGGATATTAAATCCAAAATGATATGTACTTTCCACTTTTTGTTTCCAAACATGAATTATCTTGAATTTGGGAGGTTTGTGGGGACCTAGAGATTTTTCAAGTTGGTATTCGTCATGGACTGACATCATTTGGAAGAACACTGGAAACCTGGGAGCACTATACAGGTGTTACATCCTAGTATGGAACTCTTCAGTAGTTAACTTTCTGGTGGGGTCGTGGGTGCGCACTGTTGAAGAGTCCCATACTAGGACGAAACAGAACTCATAAGCTTGAGGAATACAGTTCTTAATAGGGTGAATAATGTAGAATACTTTTGCATCCATTTATATCTTTGTTTTTGAAATACCGCTTCAAGTTTAGCTAACTACGCTCCACTTGGTACAAAGAAACCTGATATTATGCGCTCATTTTGTACAGTTTTTGCATTCTCTATGACCTTATGAAAGGTGGTTGAATGTATTACTTTGAAGAAAAATTGTTGTATGAATAAGTGACCAAAAAAGGCATTTTGTAACGTTTTAGCAGTAAATTCTCTTTTTCTTCTAACTAACTTAGCTAGTTGACAAAATAACTAAACGATTCAGTCTAAGATTTAGAAATTGTTAACTTACTTGTCGAACTGTCCAGATAGCTGATGCAATTTTACTTTGCATACCACCAGTGCCTACAGCAGATGGATTTCCGAAATTCACTAATTCTCCATGAATTGATGGTGTGAGTGTATCATATTCTGGATTTTCCATAACTTCATATTCTGCAACAAATCGAGCCCCTGGACTACCAGGCGGTGCAGTATAAACTCCATCCACATCGGAAATTAATAGTAATAGATCAGATTTTAATTCACATGCTAATCGAGCAGCTAGGCTATCATTATCACGTACTTGAGGTGCTAATGTTGAACTCTAGAGACAGAGTAAACAATCAAAATTAGTTTATCAATACAATCGTTTTATTTCAGTTTATTAGAGAAATTCTTTCATGAGTGTTACAAATCACCGTTAATTACTGAAATCAAACGAAACTGCCACAAACAACTATTGACATTGATTTTTCTTCATACGATGATTTAAATCAAGCTCATTTTTTAAAGGTAAATTATTTGGGTTATGTAGATAGAAAGTTTGATATGAAAATAACAAACTAGCTGCTATCTATTTCGGTCATAACAAGGTGTGTTACAAGCTAACAGTTCTGACTTATTATATTATTTATTATTATTAGTCCCTTGGGTTCCTAGTGGAACATAGGGCTTCAGTAGCACGTCTCCAGTGAATTCTGTTCTCAAAGATCTTTTGAACCTGGTTCCACGACAGCCCACAAGCTCTCATTTTCTCCTCGCACGACCTCCTCCATGTCACCCTCGGACGCCCAACTCGTCGCTTCCCATGGGGATTCCACTCGAGGGCCTGACGCGTGATGTCCTCAGTCGGCCTTCTCAGTGCATGGCCAATCCATCTCCACTTCCTCCTGCATATTTGTTGCGTGATGGGTTCTTGGTTGGTTCTTTCCCGGAGCACCTTGTTGCTTATTCTTTCTGGCAATCCATCTGATCTTCAGTAGCAAGCGTAAGCAGTTGTTGATGAATGTCTGTAGTTTATTGGAAATCCCTTTCGTGACGCGCCAAGTCTCTGAACCATACAAGAGCACTGACTTGACGTTGGTGTTGAAAATCCGTATCTTGTTCCACATGCTGAGTGCAGATCTCCACACTGTTTTCAGGCTAATGAACACCTGTCTTGCTTTTCCGATTCTGACTTTGACGTCCTCGTCCGTCCCGCCTGTAGTTGAAACAATGCTTCCTAGATAAGTGAAGGTGGTTACTTCCTTTAAGTTTCTCCCGTTGATGGTGATTGGAGTTTGTTGTTGTTGTTGATGGTGGTGGTGCGGTATCTTCATCACCTCTGTCTTCTCTATATTCACCTGAAGTCCCGTCTTCGCTGCCTCTTCTGTCAACTTGTTAGTTTTCGCCTGTAGATCTTCAAGTTTGTGAGACGTCAGACACGGGTCATCGGAGAAATCCAGATCTTCTAGGATCTTTTCCTCTGTCCAACCAGCGTATCCCCCTCTTCTCGCTCCCCACTGTTTGCTGCATGATCCAGTCCACCACAATCAGGAATATCATGGGGGATAGTAGGCAACCTTGTTTCACTCCTGTCTTCACTTCAAAAGCATCACTGAGCTTCCCATTGTGAATTACTTGGCATGTGGCATCTTCATATAGTTGTTGAATGAGGCTGATAAAGGTTTGTGGTATTCCGTAGTATTGAAGCAGTTTCCAAATTACTTCTCGGCCGACGCTGTCAAAGGCCTTCTCAAAGTCGATGAAGTTGAGGTAGAGAGCTGACTGGCATTCTATGCTCTGTTCTATGATGATGCGTAGTGAAGCGTTGCAATTTGGTCTGCACATGATTTGTACTTCCTGAAGCCTGACTGTTCCGGTCGCAGTTTTGAATCCAGTGCATCTTTAAGCCTCTCCAGGATGATGCGACTTAATATTTTACTTGGGGTGGACAGGAGAGTGATTCCTCGCCAGTTCTTGCAAACAAACAGTTCTGACTTATTTATCATTATATATAACAGTTCGATTATTTGTTGATAGACTGGAGGTCATTCGCAGCCCAAATAACTCATTGATAACGTCACTGACCACAGCACTAGGTGACGCTGGTTTAGATATCATTTCCGTCGACGTTGCAGATAAGCCTTTTTGATGGGTGCCCATAAGCACGAAGTCTAAGTTAAGGCCTTCCTATCGATTGCTTCCACCAACTAACATTTGTTAATAGACTTTCGGGCAGGCTAATGAGTTTGTTTCCTGGAAAAAACTATACTGAAATCCCTCAAGTTAGATCAAGAAATATGAATTACCAGCATATAAAAGGAGTTTTAGACGATAAGTAGCTTATAAGAATGGTTAAGTTCCTTTTCATGCTGGGAAGAGCTGTTAGCTGAATGGGGCAATTAGCGACTGGTCTCCTGTCTTAGCCAATGAATGAATGCTTGAATGATTCTGAAAGAGAAGAAATTATTATATTCTTAAAACTAAATACTACTAAACATACAAAAGTATAGCTCAGTTTAGAAGTTTCTGGGTGCTAATGTATTGATTTCAAGTTAATATTTATCATGGACTGTTATGCTTTCGAACGCTAATGGTTATGTATACCGAACGATATAATACGCCCGTTTAGCTGACAGCTAACTGAGTACGCAAGAGCCACTGACTGTAACCCCAGAACGAATAGAGAGAAGCCCGAAGCTGGCAGATGGGAGAGTTATTACTGAATAAGTTCATCATCCAGCGTTTTAAAATAATAACAACCAATCTAAAACACGTGAATAAGTATACACATGAAATGACCTTGTTTGCAATTGGTGTGGGAATGACACGTTAAAATGTTCAGATCAACAATAATGTTTTATACAAAACTGAGGCATCACAACACGGACTGATATAAGTTATAGAACTGTTGAAAACCTAGCAGCACTGGACATGTGTTTCGTCCTAGTATGGGACTCCTTAGTGGGATGCACCTATCATTTCACCACAGGTTAAACCTAGGATCTTAAAGTTCCACAACCAGCAGGTTACCATTGAGTCACTAGGTCAGAATCCGGTGGTCCACGTTCTCCCACTGCTGTCAGTAAGTGACACTGCATATCTACCAGCTTCTGGTTGCTTTTATACCATAGTTCCAAGTGAAAAATGCAATCACAATCTCAGCTTGAGTGCACACATTTAAACCTAAGTGGATTTAGACGTGGTCACTTACCGAAATCGTAACTATTTTTCATAGATGTTATATTGTGGATCCCCGGGTACAGTATTCAAGGTGATATACTGAACCACAATTCTGACCAAATTCTATCTTCCAGATAGTTCAAAGTGCCCAATAAAACCATTTTATGTCAATAATACTGGGCACTGAAGTTGACATCCGCAACCTACGATTTACCATAAAATGTTAAAGGCAGTTATGCGTTTCACAGACTCACGAAAAGGATAACGCAAAAAATAAGTCAGATTTAGTGTTCTTTTTCAACGTTTCATTCAATTTCATGAAATACAACCTACTTCGATAGATTCCAGGCTGTTCTACTTAAATTCTCTTCTGGCTTATGTTATATTCCTTTATCGAAATAATATCGGGTATTATTCACTTATTTTGACTTAGCTTCGATACTTTGGGATGTAGTTTTTGTTATATTGAGATAGTGTTGGAAAGCCATTTCAGGAGACAGTAGCACCCGTCAGTAGTTGCTAAGGCTGACAAATCATTGTCACTACAGTAATAAATAGAGAATGGGTCATTTCACTCACAATATTCAGGCTTGGAATTCGTGTGTTTCACTGAAAGTGCACAGCATTTTGTAAGATGCTGCTGTGGTTACAAATTTGCCGATAAAAGTGATATTTCCAAGTCTTTTCCAATTCTTTTGCTGGGGCTCTTGATACCGATGGTGATAATAATAGTTTTGTGTATGAGTTGTCTCAGCGAATCAGATTACTTTCGTGCAAGACGTTTGTGTTAAACATTTCAGGGAGACAATCATTTAGTAATAAATTAAGTGTTCAACTAAAACCTGTCACATTGCTCATATATCTAAGACAATTGTATTTATCGAATTTTGTTTGACATCCTATAGTTGAATTATCAGGAATAAGAACAAGAAATTTTGCCAAAGAATATCTTTCCTGACTGAATTTAGCCATTGATTATATTAATGGCTAGCCTACAAAAACAAGTCGTCGAAACATCTTTGCACAGTATTTCATTTTAGCTGTCTGTCTGTAGTCAAAAACCTGAGTTTAGGAAGCTTGTGACGAACTGATTTAATTAAATACAGCCCTTATCTTGATCCGATATTTGTGAGAACTTGAGATTCTAGTTTCGCTTGTAGATAAAGTTGTGAATGGACTCTCTCCACGAGGTCCGAAATATGACGAAACCGATAGTTAGAACTTTTTAGGTTTAAGTCGCCCTGTAGTCACTATCAGTTTATAATGAAAATTACCTAATACGCCATTTTCTTTTCTTACTAATGGCCAGCATGACGTTGAACAGGGAAATGAATCTTGGTTTTAACACCTTTGGTTGAGGAGTCACGAAGTCCTACCTTACATAAATGTATGCCAAATACAGACTATCTTGATGAAGAATAACTTTGATTACCCAACAACTGATATGAATAGAGTAGAATTCAATACTTTGCCTTTTCCCATGTATTTCAGCTAGCAGTACTCACATCAAGTAAACTTACTTTACGATCTGTACCAGGAGAATTTTCTCTATTCCACGCCACTGCATCATTTGTATTAATAATTGGCACAACTCCTTGATTCATTAAATCTTGAAGTGCTGTTCGCCAGTAAGCTCGTCGATGATCATCATCAAAGTCTACAGGTGTCAGTAACATCTAAAAATTAATGCAAAAGGAAAATAGAAATGCTATAGGGTTTCTTTTCTTTTTTCCTGTTGCAAATTTCGTTTCAGCAATGAGATCTTTTTACATTGGGAAGACCGGTAACTTCAAACTCATCGGTCAGAGTTTGTTGACCCACTTTTTTCAACCTCTTACTAGCTATTGGTTACATAACAATTAGTTAATGCTTGAGCTGTCTCAGTTGTATCTTTGTGCGTATAATTAGTAGTTTTATTTTATCAAATGGGCAACGATAAGTCAGTTAACAGTTTGTCAGTTTTCTGAGAAGCCATCTACTTTGAATTTCTGAAAGATGCATTATTTACTCAGTTAGATCGTACTGTCTTGATTTGATGATCAGCCTACCTTATAAAACCATTTATCCAACTGAAATCTGTTTCCGTAACAGAAAGTATTTATAAAATATGATCCCTATGTCCAGAAGAATTATGTTCAGTGTCTTATCTTACCACAGTCTTATCCCTTCCACAATTTTATAATTTCATTATGATTAGTTTAGTTTACGATTATCACCTTGTTGATTACGTACTCTTCTTTCTTCACCTTCCTTATGTCTATCAAACAGACACTCAACCATTGTATCTCACATCTACCAACAATTTTTATCTTTATTATCGTTTTGACTATCTGGAATAGCAGTGGTTTGGTAGATTAGTATTTATACTAGGTGGTGATTGAAAGGGAAATAAAAATTCGGACAGCGTTCAAATGAAGGCCGGAGACCCAGTGGTCGCTGGTCCGAACCCCACCGCAGTTCAAATTTCCACTTCCCCTTCAATCATCATCCAGTATCAGTAATAGTCCGCCAAACCACGGTTATCTCACATAGTCGAAATGGTAATCAATAAGATCCTCCACCTTTCTAATTCAGTTACATTTGGATTGGGATGAGAAGTCTTGACTAGACAGCCAGTCTGAATACCATCATGCAGTAGTTACGCATCGCGAATTCACATGGTAGTGGGGCAAAACCCTTGATGATTGAAGTGAAATAAAAGTTTGGTTAGCAGTTGGACCTCGTAGGTGGGTTGGCAAAGCATTGGACCGGAAACCCGAAGTTCCAGGTTTGGATCCGGTCGCGGTCCGAATTTCCATCTTGTCAAACTTCTCACCTTTCTCATTATTTCCATTGTCTAAAGGATTATTGCGCAACTACTTTCCATTTTTGGTTTCACTTCTTAGCACAGGCTTAGTGACGCAGTTATATCCTATTGTGTAGTAATAGACTTTTATGCGTTTGTGACATATATAAATACGACTGTACAGCTTGAGAAAATGATATCGCTTAAAAATAAAATTCTCTTCAATGAGTTATCTTTTCTTTTCTTTATGACTTAATGGGAGTGTGCCATTGTCAAAAATATATTCACCAGTCGCTGTTAATTTTCTCTTCAGAAAACCGTAGGTTCAGGTCATGTGTTTCCTCTCATCTGAACGTAAGGTTTATGTGCTTAACATGACGTAACTGGTCTAGATTATAGGAATAAAGTCTGTCTTACTGTGAATAACTGACATTACAACATATTACTTCCCTTTATCATCCGTGAGTCGTAACTAATTGATCTATGTCGTGTAAATTTCTTACATTGCATTTAGACTTTGGAGCTTGGAATTTACTTGACAGTTTACTAGTCATGTTTCGTATGCCTTCTTAACTTTTCGCTTCAGGTAAAGAGAAAAAACCAACGTAGAACCTTGCACAAAAACTCATCTGTTCACGTTGTCACACTTTACGGTAGTATACAGAGACAGGTGGATCCAAAAACAGTGATATCAAAATAGATAAAGTTGTGTGATGGAATAAGCAGTCCAAGGATTAAAGTTATTAAAAATATTCAAGCTTTAGGAGATATCAAGGAGTGAATAAATCTGAGCCATTGTTACAGATATTTGGTCATGTCACCCGAAGTCCTCAACCACTGATTCCTATCGTGTCTGGGACCCCGGTCTAGTAGTCTACATCTCACCAAACGGCTCAGATCAAAAGCCAGGCACTTCATATACTTGGTTTGACCACCCTGAACCCTTCCCAACCTAATCACACTGCCCTTAGTACGACACTTCGAGGAGGGTCGTGGCTTGGCATGCGCAGTACATGTTTAAGCCACCTCATCCGATGAAAATTCAGAATATCATCAATCGACTTGCCTATCTTGCTTAGTAAACTTTGCCTGACTTCAGCATTTTTCCTACTCTGATCCCACCAGACGTGAGTAATGGTACGTAGATACTTGTGATCAAATCCCTGCAACCGCTTCATATCTGCTTTTAACAGCCATACAACAGGACAGAATGGACTGCAGCACAGCATGCTTATCTTTTGATAGAGAGTCGAATATCTCGCCAGCCGGCGCCATAGATGACGCAAGTTGGCAAGTGACAAACGGGTTTTCTGTATTTGAGCTGAGATTTTGTCACGCTGATGCGACTCCCAAAGTAAGTGACATGTTCGACGCATTCCACCATTCTACTCCCTACCGTCAAACTAGGAGTTGTTGTAGACCATTCCTGGAGCACCTTATTATTTCACAGGTGCCAGCAAAAAGCATATCAGCCAAATATACTCGGATTTCGGCCCAACGGGTTCACAAAACCCTGCATTTTGTCAGTATCTTCACCTAGCAGGACAATATCGTCTGCATATTCGAAGTCAAGTTATTGCTTCGACCACCTAAAATAATAGGCACTAATTGATAGTTATTATATACTTACTGTGTTGTAACTGTTCCTGAATTATTTGTTTTTGTCCTCTGAATTAACAGACAGATATAAGTGTATCTAAGTGGTTTCCCCTGCCATGCTGTCTGAATTTACTCAGGATTAAGAAGAACATGTCGATATCTGATTACATTTATTGGCATAACCACGAATTAATGTTTTGTAATTAGTAGATGATTTCTAATTGTGTTCCTACAGAGATTTTCTACTAATTCATCGATATGATTCAACGTTTGACTTATCTAAATTATAGTCAAGGGAGTACCTTCCAGATTTCGGTGACACAGAAGGTAACTGGCTTAAACAGTTTAGACTGATTTGGAAGGTAGAGCTTCTTTATGTATGAAACTCCTCACCGTCGACACTACTTCATCTGGTGACTGTAGTAATATATTTACGCTAAAAAACTTGGGAAGATTTACAAAGTTTTATTTTTTAAATATTAACAGGTAACTTACAGCTGCTGTTCGAAGGTCACACTGCTCAAACAGATGGTCATATAAAGTGACCATTTCTGCCATACCAATGGCTGCCCGAGCTCCTCGACTACTCTTCTTCTCATCTATTTCAAGATGATGTCGACCTAATGCTATCGCTCCACTGGTGACAAGAAGGCATTGACGACCCTGAAGTGGAATAAAAATGTAATTTTATCAGGTAGATAGCAGAATACTTAACGAGTGGTGGACTGATTTAGCAAACACAGGAAGACTCTTTGATACTCGACTACAAACTATCATTATTTATATATCTAGTATACGTGCGATTTTTTAAAATTACTGTCTGTTACGTCTCTGACAGTTCATAAACACTATAAGACCTTCAACTCTTTAAAGTTAAGAATCTATAGAGATTTTGGACTAGGGAACTTGAATAGCTCTTTAAAAAGTAGTAGCTATAGTTTTTACTGCTATCTTTGATATACTTTGGAGTCAAGGAACCTCTAAGCACCCTAACAAACTCCACCTTTGCCGTTCAAACTCCATACTGTTTGTACATATACTTTTACAACTTCATAACTCAAAATTTATCAAACATTTCAACTGGTCGATGAATTTGTAAAGAAAATTTCAGCCGGAGATGAATTGACTTATTTTAAGGCAGTAGTTACCAGGAGCTGACATCAGTTGAAGGACCATCGGCAACCTGGGAGGACTAGACAGGTGTTTCGTCCCAGCAAGAGACTCCTCTGCAGTACGCATCCATGACCCGACTAGAGATCGAATTCGGGACCTTCAGGATTGGGGCGAACACCTTAACCATTGAGCCACTGGGTTGGGGCTCATTAGTTCACTTTTTTTTACACTAAAAGTGTACAAAACAGTATTCTTTTGGGTACAATAACGAGGAAACAATGATAATTATTTTATATTAGATTTGTTTATTTGATATATAGCGCACAGTGATACAGTATTATTTACTTGATTACGTTTTGAGCATAAATTATTACTGCTCATAATCATATCAATGTAATCACACACAAGTTTCGATATCTGATTTTATAGTCCTGTCACCTGATCTCTCTTTGTTTTTTTGTTTTTTGTTTTTTGATGGGTAGTAAAGTTTTCCATATCTCTGGTATAGGTGTTGCGTCATTCCTGTTACATGTGTTGGGTTTGGATACGATGAACAAAGATTCAATAATTAATCTCTCTCTCTCCACCTAGCTATACTGGACAGTGGTTTTGTCCCACCCTATTGTGTGGTTGTGTGTTAATGAATGTAATGCAATGGCCGAGTGTTTTTCTAGATTATTGATCTTATTGGGGTCTGCCGTTCTATGTTTAGCTAAATTCCCATGTTCTGCTAATCTAATAACTGTAGTCAACACTACATTGGACAAAGTGGTCACACTCTTCGCCTTCGCCTACATGAACACCAATTAACTAATGAACGCCAACTACATTTCATCACTCATTTCAATGCATGTGGATAACAACTATGGACATGAATTCAATCTCGACAAAATAGAAATCTCGAAAGGAGAGAGGAAACACAAAGAATATCAGAGAATTCCTAGAAGCTTGGCACTCAGGTCAGTCAGACACAGACCCAATTTATCAATCGATGAGAAAGATGATAAACGACAGAAGGTTCAGAGGTGAAGCAGAGGAACAACCAACTGGAAAGTCTATACAATCAATGACACAACAATCAAGGGAAACAAGCAATCACAGACCACATCGTCAGAACAAGCCATTAAATCACTCACGGAAAGATGTTCACAGCTCACTTCATACTGAAGTTACTGCTGATGATGTAGTCCAGAAAGACTATGAAAGCTTCATGGTTAAACAACCCAGCTGAGAGAACAAAGTACACTGCTATGCATATTATTCAAAAGATATTTGAACAGAATCTGTATTGCTGATGATGTTTAAGTCATATTTATCGATCAGAAGTGAATTCTTCCAAATGTAAATGACAACATAACACACTAGGTCAAATTTTCACACTTTTACCAACTAATCTGCTCTGGCTGAGAACATAGATGAATCAGTCATTAAAAAAAATGCTTTTGAAAAAAAATTACCTGAATTTCATGGCTAATGAAGAAGATGAACATAACTTCGGTTGTCAGAAGCTTCGGACGCTCATAGGATTTTGAGATGATGAAGAATATTTATAGCTCAAGAAGATAATCTTGATGCCGTTGCGTTCTCTGACCTGGATTGTTTGATCGTGAAGCTTTCTTTGTCATTCCAGACAACATCATCAGGACAAACTTCATTCTAGGCAATTTCCACTTTTCAAGTTAATATTCATCACGGACTGATTTCAGATGGAGAAACATTGGAGACGTGGGAGTACTAGAGAGCTGTTTCGTCTTACTTTAGGATTCTTCAGCAGTACTCATCTGCGACCCTGTCAGGGGGTCGAACGTAGGACTTTCAGGTTCCACAGCCGACACGTTACATTGAGCCACTGTGTCGAAAACAAGTGGTCTGTATTTCCTAGTTCTGTCACCTGACCACTTAGCGTAACCGTCACCCAATGTCATCGTTGAGTGTTTGTTCTTATGTACACTCGGTTCTCCCCACTGGTCACGAGTTTTCATTGGAACTTCAGAAATCACCTGTCGAAGCTAGTCACCAATTACCTGTGGGGCAAACCAAAGGGACGTGAGGAAAAATGATCAACGATGATATTGGGTGATAGTGAACTGTCGCAAGCTGACAGAACACCTTTGGGTTCCGACCCAGTGGCTCAATGGTAACGTGTTGGCTGCGGAACCTGAAGGTCCTGAGTGGTGATCGTTGGTGAGGTCGTGGGTGTGTGCCAACGAGGCGCCCCGTACAAGGACAAAACAGCTGTTGAGTGCCCCCAGGTTTCCAGTGTTTCTGCAGCTGATGTCAATCCGTGATGAATACCAACTTGAAACTAATAAGCCCTCAAATTGAACTTTCGTATTGTGTAATCGAATATCATCCAGTAAACCATAGTCGAGATTACCATTCTAAATTTTTTCAATACTTCGTGTTTTCCTTTCCACACAAGTATCAGTCTTTTCATCTCTTGACCGGAAGTAATCTTCTTTAACTGTTCTACTAGTGATTGTTCGTACATAGAAGTGCATAGTTTCTAAAATGAACTGCCATCGATAGAGTTTCTTCAGTGTATTTTGCCCTGCTAGTAGTTGAAAAAGTGTAACACTTAACACCTTGGATAATCCCTTAATTCCAGACAGTACTTATGTGACTCTACTCCTGAAAAGAGATGAAGAGTTGATGCTAGATGGTTGAAGGGAATCAATAGGAAACCTTGTTCGCCTTAGGTTTAGTGTTTGGTGGCACTTGTCAGCAAGGTGCGTCTCCAACCTCAAGGGATCTGAATTCAGTTGCCGGACTTGAACTCAGGTCACTGAGCTCTATGGTTTGATAGTCCAGTTGCTAGCAGACTCTCAGCGAACCCGCTTTAGTTTACTTGATTGTGGCTAGCAGAAGGATCCAGGATGCACGTCTCATCCTATTTAGGACTTGTCAGCTATATGTATCTACACCTCAGTGATTGTTGTTCTCATTGAGACTCGAACTTCATATCCATCGTTGAAATGCCAGGGCTTTACTTACTAGGCCACAAGCGTAGGATAGCCACCTCTTGTACAACGGGCATTAATTATTACTATTTATGCATAAGCTTGTAATTTTACGTCGTTTTACCGGATCGAACTGTTTGACCTCTAATGGTTTGTCGGCTCCTATACGAATGCTTCGATACCGTCTGAATATTACGTATGCTAACTTACTTGAGGTGGCTATCGTACCTCCATGATTAGAGCTTTGGGGTTTGATGTGATGGGTACAAGGTTCGAGTCTCAGTGGGAGAACATCACTCACTGCGGTGCAGATTTATACAGCTGACGATTCCCAAATAGGACAAGACGTGTATCCTGGATCCCTCTGTTAGCCACAATCAAGTAAATTATCATAATTAATATTCAGGCAGTATCGAGGCATTCGCATAAGAGCCCATATACCAGTAGAGGTTAAACAATTCGATCCAGCAAAACAACGAAAAATTACGAGCGTACCAATGAATAGTAATCACTATGTTTTAGCTTTTTTCTGAAAACAAGCATTATCGTTTGATACAATATATGGTTAATTTTCGTTGAATTGGTAACCTGAAATAATTGTGTAGCTTTTATCTGTTGATAAAAGGTAAAAAACAGTAGATCTTACACATTCAAATCAATGTTTGCATATCGGTTCTTTGAGAGTCAACAGTGGCTCTATTCTTATTCTTGAAAGGTGTTCAATATTTGACTTCAATTGTTTTTTTTTACTCCTTAGATCATTCATTGAGGATTATATGCTAATTGTGGGTACATATACAGAAAGCCATGAAATACTCATATAAAGTCACATGACACAGTTTTTGGAGTTCGAAAACTTCTCAACCGCTTTTTTTTACATTTTGTTTTGAAAAATTCTCACTGTCTGATAGAAAAAACTGATAGTTATCTGAGAGAAATATGTTATTATTTACATTTCCTGCTCAGTTAGCTGGTATGTGTATTTTTACTGGGTAAAACGTGATGTAAGTTGTCATGTGAGAAATAAAATAGTTTTTGATAACTATTGCTAGTTTCAGGAAATTGGCATTTCTTTCCATCGACAATGTTTAGATAAGTTGCAGGTTACTTTCTTACATAGGTAAGTATGAGCAGTGTTTACCATATATTACCATAATTTCGGGGGAAGTTTACAGTATGGATTGACATTCAGAAAAATTGAAAACCAGTAGATTATTTCCCCGTAGACTACTCCATTGGATTGTTACAATCAATAACACTACTGGGTTTTTTTACGTATATATTATATACTAAAGGTTTATATGAGAACTAGTGCCCTGCAGGATCATGGTTATACAATTCGTCAAGGGGCACTTTCCATGCATCGCTTTTCTCGGATATTGTCATTTTATTTCGCTATGGATGAAATTTGTGATCATAATAGGTGACAACTATTACTTTTTTTCACTTTTATAATGAGTGCATAAACGCAGACATACAAACCAATGCAAAAATGCACATATAATGTTACTCAAGCTACTAATTAAATTTTATAGACAGACAAACATTCTAATCATGCAAGATACATGTTAAATTGCATGATTTACATTAAAACAAAATTCATTATGATTTTTGTTGATTAGAATATCAACAATATAGAGTCATTTATCGCTGAGATATAAACAATTTGTCAAAAAAAAAGTGTACTAATGATTTGTTCGATTCAATGTTTACTTAATGATTTGTTTATTGAGAACAAGACGTTGATATCACGAGTATACACATACAAAGTATGCATCTAACACTCACATGCCTACAACTAAGCATATATGGAAAACAGTTTTATCTAATGAACTATGTGAAAGTTCGACATAATAATGTATGAAGATATTGTGTATGATTTATGATGGATAGCGACTAGCAGTGGAATCCAGGATTCGCTTTTCGTCTTACTTGGGACTCGTCAGCTGGATGTGCCTGCCTCCTAGTGAGTGGTGTTATTGTCACTGAGGCTCAAACTCGGGACCGATCACTTCAAACGCCAGAGCGTTACCGACAAGACCACCAAGCCAAGATAGCCACTTGTTGTGCGACGGGTATGGTTCTTAATATTGTTTGCTTGTATTATTTCGTTCGAGTCCCACTAGGAAAAAACCACTCACTGGGAGGCAGGTACATCCGACTGACGAGTCCGAATAGGACGAAACGCACTTACTAGACTCCACCGCTAACCACTATCAGTCATATATATATATATATATATATATATATATATATATATATATATATATATATAACTGAAACACAACCATTATCAAGGCATCCATGCAGGAGTCCATGTACCAACAGAGATCGATCAATTTGGTTCAATCAGTGACGGGATAACCCAAGCAACAACATTGCGTATGACTGTTTGTTGACTTACTACTTATTTTCTTTAAGTAGTAACTACCTGCTCATACTATGAATCGATGAATGCTATGCACCTCATGGTAAACCTGATTACTGCAACTATTCCGAGGGTATTTTATACCTTGAAGTTACTAAATCCTATGGAAGAAGGCAGTTATTTACAATCATCTCACAGTAATATCATCATTCATGTTGATAACAATCCTAATTAGAAGTACTACAATTTTATTGGTTTAGTACATAATAGCTTGACTAAGGTATGTTCCAGACAAAGTAGAATAATTGGTTCATTTATGATTTATGTTTGAGGAGAGAGATATTGAATTAACAATTAATGTCTTAGCCAGAAATAAACAGGAAGTTGATAGTTTTGATTCTGATAACTGATATCAGCTATGAAAAAATGATACTGAATGTGCAGATTGCACTAGCCAAATCAGCCAAGTCAGAAATGTCCTTTGGGTAGGTTCTCACTAGTGGTATACTTGGGTAAATTTAAATCACTGAAGAGATGACTGGTTTACATGAACCGTTGAACTGCATAAACGCTTTCTAGCTAATCGTCCTGTTTAACAGTAGATTTCATGGTTTCATATCATTCTTATCTCGGATATCATCATTATTTATAATCTGGGTTGGGCGGTTCCTCAGACACTATGCATTTCGGCATCTGAATAACCAATGAATTGTGAGAATACCAGCATGGACTGTGTAGGGGACAAATCATTTGCAAAACTAATATGGAATTCGTTTTGACCATCTGAGACAGTCATTGTTTTGCAGACTAGTATTGCTACGGGGTGATAATTGAAGGTGAAATGAACCAGTGACCACTGGGTTACTGACTTCGGTACTCTATCAACTGAGCTACGAGACCCAACAGCTTTTGATCTGATTCTTATTTCACTTCAGTCGCCAAGGGTTTTGCCTGACTGCCATGTGAATTTTTGATGCTATACTACCACTTGATAACATTTACACTGACTATCCAGCCAGAAGTTCTCATCCCTGTAGCTGTTTTTGGGTTCTTCCGCAGGGTGAATTTTTATTTCCCCTTCAATCATCACCATGTATCAATAGTAGTCTATCAAAACAAGGCTATCTTAGACATTCAGAATGATAATCAGTATCATGGTCTCCCCTTCTCTAACTCAGGTCGGTCCGGATTGGGATGAGAAGTCCTTACTAGGCAGCCAGTATGAGTATGATCAAGTGGTAGTAACGCAGTACAAATTCACATGACAAGCGGACAAAACCCTTGGTGATTGAAGTGAAATAAAAATCTGGTCAGTAGCTGCTTGGTCTTATCGTCCAGTAAGTAGAGCGTCACCCGGTAACCCTGTGGTCGATGATTAGAATACTACCGCGGTCCAAAATTTTCATTTCACCTTGAATCATCACCCTGTAGTAATTAATGTGGTTATATTACTGCAGAAGTGAAAGGAGTCATTGTTCTAAGGTATATCGTTTGTCCATTAAGTTTTTGAACAAGTCATTAACTTTGTGGTATTAGCTAACTACTGTTCATCGATAGTGTGGATTGGTTGGTTACTTTTGTATTATTATTATTATTAGTCCCTTGGGTTCCTAGTGGAACATAGGGCTTCAGTAGCACGCCTCCAGTGACCTCTGTTCTCTGAGATCTTTTGAACCTGGTTCCACGACAGCCCACAAGCTCTCATTTCCTCCTCGCATGACCTCCTCCATGTCACCCTCACCTAGGACGTCCAACTCGTCGCTTCCCATGGGGATTCCACTCGAGGGCCTGACGCGTGATGTCCTCAGTCGGCCTTCTCAGTGCATGGCCAATCCATCTCCACTTCCTCCTGCATATTTGTTGCGTGATGGGTTCTTGGTTGGTTCTTTCCCAGAGTTCCTTGTTGCTTATTTTTTCTGGCCATCTGATCTTCAGCAGCGAGCGTAAGCAGTTGTTGATGAATGTCTGTAGTTTATTGGAAATACCTTTCGTGACGCGCCAAGTCTCTGAGCCATACAAGAGCACTGACTTGACGTTGGTGTTGAAAATCCGTATCTTGTTCCAGATGCTGAGTGCAGAAGATCTCCACACTGTTTTCAGGCTAATGAACGCCTGTCTTGCTTTTCCGATTCTGACTTTGACGTCCTCGTCCGTCCCGCCTGTAGTTGAAACAATGCTTCCTAGATAAGTGAAGGAGGTTACTTCCTTTAAGTTTCTCCCGTTGACGGTGATTGGAGTTTGTTGTTGTTGTTGTTGATGGTGGTGGTGCGGTATCTTCATCACTTCTGTCTTCTCTATATTCACCTGAAGTCCCGTCTTGGCTGCCTCTTCTGTCAACTTGTTAGTTTTTGCCTGCAGATCTTCAAGTTTATGTGACATTAGGCATAAGTCATCGGCGAAATCCAAGTCTTCTAGGTTCTTTTCCGTCGTCCAGTGTATCCCCCTCTTCTCGCTGCCTACTGTTTGCTGCATGATCCAGTCCACCACAATAAGGAATATCATGGGGGATAGTAGGCAACCTTGTTTCACTCCTGTCTTCACTTGAAAGGCATCACTGAGCTTCCCATTGTGAATTACTTGGCATGTGGCATCTTCATATAGTTGTTGAATGAGGCGGATAAAGGTTTGCGGTACTCCGTAGTATTGAAGCAGTTTCCAAATTACTTCTCGGTTGAGTTAAAACTGCACATTGGTCACACACAAAAAGCAGAGTATGACTTCTGTACTGGAGAAATTCTGTTTGGTTTGATAGTTATTTACTGACTGAATATCCTTCCGACAAAGTTAATATCAAATTCCAGGCAATTTTTTTAAATCTATCAACCTTGTTTTTCAGATTTCATCTGCCTTTTTTCACCACAACATATCAGACACTATGAAGTAAGCATTATTTGTCCTGTAGACGTTTACTTCATGATTTCACGTTTAATATGTAAATAGTCATGGTGAAATCTACTATTTAATAAGATGCTGAGTGGAAATTTTTTGTGGACTGCATTATCGAAAGACAGTAACCCCGGTTTGATTAATACAAAGCAAAAAGGTACCAATTAAATGCTTACATTAGATGTACTACATTTATGAAAGTGAAGATCACCTGAACATCAGGAGTATTGAGTAGCTGGCAGTGTATCAAAGTTAATGAGATGAGTGACAAAAATTATATGGATGAAACAATCACAAAGTGTGTTATTGACGTGTCGATTGAAGTACTCATTGGATCCGATCAAGAACATCTTGATTTAAGTTTTACTTCTAGACACGGGATTTACGGGATATCTTTCATGTGAAAAAATTTTACTTGTGTAACAATATCATTCATTTATCTCAGGCTTTTTTTATAAGGTTTCTTTTCGTTCATCTTAATAAGGTTGTCATGATTTCCAAGATAGCTGAGTTGATTCCTGGATCTTACTTGCCAGAAAAATGTAGATTCAATCAAAGTAAAACTAGTTCAGGGAATCGAAGGCTTCCGCTTACATGTTTAACAGAAGACAATATCCGTCTTCATTCCTCTGCTTAAGTTGGGTCATCATTTTTTTGATTCAATTTAATCTGAATAACTAAAAAATATCTTTCCTTGATGCTGTTTATATAAGGCAGTCAGCTGCATAACCTTAGGAAGGCTTATTCACTTAGTTATCTGTATATTTTGGTACAAGTAGGCATTTTTGATTACACTATTGGTCTCCTACTAAGATAGTTACTAATCATGTTACCAGTTTTGATAACTGCTTATCACTGATTTCAAATACAAACTTATGAACTATTTATGTGTCAACATTAAGTTAGGTAATCTTAAAATCTACAACAATGTGACAAGTGTTATATAATTGCAGATAGTCGATAAGAACTTCTGAACTTTAGTTAGTTCACTACTTAGTTGTTAGATATAGAATTTTAAACAAAAATTTTCTGAAGATTGAAAGGTACAATATAAATTGACATGGAATCATTTACTGAATAATATTTCTGATATAATTTATTGTTCACCTTCAAAATCAACATAACAAATTTTAGATTGTTTATAATTCGATCTACATTTAAGCTTTAATATAAGATGTAAAATATCATAAGTCTGATAAGGTTTTGTGTCATATGCAAAATTATTAGGTTTACAGGTAATAAGTATTCACATCTGATAACCACAGTTAAAACAGATCATCGTAAGAGAGTAGTATCTACTAAATGATTGATATATTTGTCCACATAATTCGGTTGTTTCAAAGCTTCCAGTGTTTTTTCTATGAAGTTAACGGTAGTCCTTATGATTTTGACAATGGTCAAATCAAATCTTAACTAATCTCTGAACAACTGATATTCGTATATTCTTGAAAAGGTCAACCTTTTGAAAGATCCTTAGTTGAGTAGTAACATATATAAATTGTATACAGTTAACAGTCAATCATCCATTGTCATTATTTTCAACAACTTCTTGATCACTAATATAAAAGAATATCACTGAAGGCCAGAAGAAACAATAATTTATCATCTTTGTGCTGTAGTAATTCCGAATTCTATATTTTATGAATAGTAACTTAGTCTGATTAAATACCATCATGGTAAAGGAAACTGAATGTTTTGAAATATATCCTAATGTGGTGGAATTGAACCGAATTAGTTTTCTGTGCAGAAGAATTAAAATGAGTCAAGGTGTCTGGTGCATTTCGCACTCAGTATATATTAAGCACTTGGTCAGTTAAACGGAGTTGTAAGGAACCGAGGTATTCATAACTTTTTTAGAAGAATCGAAAGATAAATATATTGATGGTATAACTTGCCTTATATTATTATATTTCAAAATGTTATGTGATTTGTGTAGTCTATTCAGACTTACACATTTGAATAAGTTATACATATATGATTAATGTAACTTCAAAAGAAAAACAATGAATTACCTGCTGACACAGTTCAGCAATCTGTTCTACAATAGCCGCTAATCGTCCAAGAGCTAAAGCACTTCGATCTGGTTTCGTTACTACTGCACTGCCTAATTTTATAACCACCTTTTTGGCATCACTCAATTCAGCTCTAGTTCGTGCAAGTTTATACAAAGTTGAACTGTTGTGAAATCCATTTGTCTGATTACGTAACATTTGTCTACTTCTATGTGCAATACTAGATAAATTAGAAAATTGATTGAATAGTTTAGTGTAACAGTAACAACTTACGACTTCAATAGACGATTAGCAGTCAACATTTTTCCTGTTGTGTTGCAGAATTTACGATATTTGGTGCTGTTTTTTTCAATGTTCGAGTTGCCTTGTGTATTTATATGTAACAATCTGATCAGAGAAATGACCTTCAATAATAATTGAACGTATCGGTAGATCGTAAGATTTTGATTGGTATATCTTATTTTTAATCCATATTAAACAGTTTTTAGTGTAGATGCATTATATTGAAATGACCTATAAAACTGATTTCACTTATCTGACGGTGATAATAGTTCTAAAAAGTTGTAATTTCTATGTTTTAGTCATAGCTATCAGTGAAATGGACAAGAATACAGACTTACACGGAGTGCAGAAAACCTAACGTTTGCCAAACTATTTATGTTTTGTTATTATTTATTGATATCCTCGTAGTTCTCTGTTGCTGTTTTTATATTGGATGGAATTTTTCTACCTCTGTTAGCGTATGGGCTTCTATGCGGATAGCTGAATATTGCTGAATGTTAATTATGATAATCTGCTTGGTTGTGGCTCGCTGATAACAACATCACCCACTGGGATACGGGTATATACAACTGACGAGTCCCAAACAGGACGAAACTAGCACCCTGGATTCTTCTGCTAGCCGCATTCAAGCAGATTATCAGCTGTGTTTTGGTTGTTATATCACTGTTTATTGTCAGATGAGTAGTTTATACTTATGCTCTGATCACTTGTTTGATATCTAGTTATGTAATACATTTGGTTCCCTTGACAAATTTGAACTATGCAAGAACAAAGATATTTGGAGAATAAAGTGAGCTCATTACTTTATTTCATAGCCTTTCATCAGCTGTAATCAGTCTACGATTGAAATGAAGTAGTAGTAGTAATAATTGCATAATATGCTTTGAATGTGCAGAAATAAATGGAGATTTCAAATCCAGGTTTTACAGTAAGGTTGTGAGTGAGTCAAGGAAATACACGATTAATAGTTACAAATCTTAGTCAAAATCAACGGCAATTTATATCTAATGAGATAAAAAAAATTCTGAAGCTGTGGAGTAGGGGAGGACAACAGACGAAAATCAGTGTAAAAGAAGGGACTATTGAATAACTACTAGGTTGCGTAATTATATAAAAAACTGGAAAGTCGTTAAGTGTTTAGCAGTCAGGAAGTAATGAATGAAGAGATAATACAATTAAAGGCAGAAGAAAGAATATATACATAAAGATTGAAAACTTATCTACAGTTATCAAGGTAAAGAAAAGCTAATTACAATCTCCTTCTGAGTAAACAGATTAGGCTGAAAATGTTTGATAGCAAAAGCTTCCGCAAACCGTAGTAAATATAGTGTTTTTTGTTTGTTGATTATCCTCATGGTTTGATGTCCTGTTTCCATCAGATGCCTGGTGATTGTGCCTTAAAAGACCTTGGTAACATTCAGAGACAGATTTTTTCGGAATGTGCTCATCAAATTGAGTAGACATCCTTCCTTCAGTCCGTCCTATGTAATTGCTTCCAAAGGACTGGTGAGCTGATATACGCAGTTGGAGGTGACGTGAGATGGGTACTTGCCTACTTTCGATTGTGTTATTGACCATACTATATTATTAATTGAGATCAGTTTGGCAGCAGGGAAGCTCCTTTCAGTGAAGCTTTTATTCTTCTATCTAATCTTCCAAATGTCTTATCACCTCTGAATGCTAGGCGAAGGAAAACAGGATTCTTCTCAAGAGTTGAATGTTTTGATCTCTCAATAAATTCTTTTCCATGCTTTATGATGAATTACTTCTGATATCCATTCTCTATAACAGCCTTCTCAGTAATCTCAAATTCCTCTTTCTGTTTATTTTTAGAGCATAGCGTTTTTATTCTAGCGAATAGCTTCTTGACAAAGCCACGCTTATAGCTGACAGGACAGAAAATATTGCAATAAAGGTACTGACCGATTCTTATGTGTGTATTTAGTTTCATCATAATACGAATACAACTCAGACAATTAGACAGCCAGTAATACTTTGTTTTTAAACTGTCTAAGATAGTATTTAAGGAAAGTCCCCATTCTTTTATAGTGAATCACTAGGTGTTTGTGTTAAATGTATATAACCAATGATGATACAACTTTACAGTTTATTCTATCAGAAACTGATTCAGCATATACATATCATATATATACATATCAATTCAGTATGGTTAACAATTCATTTTTATAACGAAGATTTTCGTAGACTGAGATTCGACAGTTTTAATGAACCCGAATAGCTTAATCATGAGACACTCAATGCCATTTTAGATAACACAATCACCACAAATTTCAATAGGAAGTGAGATATTCAATTTTGTCCACAATTCGTTTCTCACCTTATTCTGATGACCTTGTCTGTGGTTGGTTATTTCGGCGAACATCTTGTCATTCTCTTCATGCCTATTTCAATTGGTTATCCTGATGACCTGAAATTTGACCTTCCTGTTGTTTCGCATTGGTTGATAGATTGGATCTCTCTCAACCATCACATGGAAGCACTGACTTACTTGACTGACATTAGTGTTGAAATTCCGGATCTTGTTCAGCCTTTGTGCTGAGTGCAGTGTAGTGCAGTAGATCTCCACACTGATTTCAGATTAACACAACATGTCTTGCTGTCTTTCCAATCCTGGCTGGTTTTGACATCCTCATCCTCATCTGTGCCTGTACCACCTGTAGTTGAAACGATGCTACCTTGACTAGGTAGATGAAAGAGATAACTTCCTTTTGGTTTCTCCCGTTCATGGTGATTCGTGTTTGTTGTTGTAGGTCGGGTATCTTCATCACCTCTGTCTTCTCTATATTCACTTGAAGTCCCGTCTTCGCTACCTGGCCTCTTCTGATAAATTGATGGTTTTCGCCTGTAGATTTTGGAGTTTGTGTGACATTAGGGATAAATCATCACGGGTGAGATGCAAATCTTCCTCTGGGGGTCTTTTCATCATTCCAGCTTTTGTCCCTCTTCTTCCTCCTCACGGTTTGTTGCATGATACAGTCGACCAAAATCTGGAAGATCATTGGTGATAGTAAGCAGCAGACTCATCCTACTCCTGTCTTCACTTCAAACGCGTCACTCAGATTTCCATTGTGGATCACTGCGCATGTAGCATCATATAGAATATAGCTGTTGTTAAATGAGGTTGATAAGGGTTTGTGGCACTGAAACCGTAGTGTAGAAGCAGCTGCCTGCCAAATCACTTCTCGGTCGACGCCTCGATCGAAGGCCTCTTCAAAGTTGATCAAGTTGAGGTAGAGATATAGTTGACTGTTATTCTATGCTCTGTTCTATGATGATGCGTAGCGTAGCGTTGAGATCTGATCCACATATGATTTGTTTATCCTGAAGCCAGCCAGCCAGCGAGCCTGTTTCCGTCGTGATTTTCAACCCAGCGCATTGTTTAGTCTCTCCAGTATGATGCGGCATAATATTTTGCCTGATGTGGACAGAAGCATATTTCCGTGCCAGTTCTCGCAAGTATTTCTGTCTCCCTTCTTTAGGAGCTTGACAACGTAGCCTTTCTTCCAATCAATGAGCAGGTACCTTTCCTTCCTTCCTTCCTTCCATGCAAACCTTCTGCAATTGTGATGTCAGCATGTCCGTTGTTGTCGCAGCGTCTGTTTTCAGAGCTTCTGGAAGAATTCCATTTGGCCCTGCTGCTTTTTTAGCTTTCGACAAATTTATGGCACTATTGACTTCACGTCTGCTTTTGTCGGAGGGCTTGTGTTCACTGGTAATTCCGTGGCTGGGCTGGTGGTGGTATTTCTGAAAGTGTTGCAGGTGGTAGTGGTGGTCGATTCAGAGGTATTTCGAAGTGGTAAGACGATAGTTACCTTTGTTTCTACTTTTTCCTAACTAAGTTTCCATCATTATCTGTCACTGTTTTGTCTGGGTTGATCTCTCCCTACCAGATAGTAATCTGGTTATTTGCTATTATGCTGTCACGTCTATAATACGTGCAACCTGTTCTGCTTCACTTGCAAGCGTGTCACGAAAGTGTCTGTTGTCTTTCCGCTCACTCGTCTACGCTTCTCCGTCTAGTATTTTATAGGTTGGGTTCAGTTCCACTTTCAGTTGTTCATCTTTGCACTACGCTGCCAAACCATCTGTCCCTTCGCTCCTCTATGAGATTCCATGTATCCGCGGAGATCCATTCATTATCTTCTTCCTTCCTAATACGGTTGTACAGGTTTCTTTCTACATCTCTTTCAAAGACTTCCAGTGTTCTTCCACACAGGTTTCTTCAGGGATGTTGCTCATTATCTCCCATTTTGTCTTGATGGCTGCCGTGAAGATGTCCTCTGTAATTTCGTCCTTCAGTTTCTGTTCTGGATGTTGAACTTGAACTGTAGTCTATCACCAGCTTCTTTGAAAGCTTTCAACCTGATTTTTAAGGTTCCTTGAACTAGACAGTGAGTGGTCTGAACATACATCTGCTCTCCTTCTTGATCTGTCTGATCTTGTGTACAGTAGGCTGACTGCATCTCCACTTTATTCACCTTGAAACGAAGTCGATCTGATTTTTAGTGTAGTGTGTCTATCTGGTGAAGTTTATGTTGCTTTGTGAATATCTTTGCGTTTGTACACACTGCCTCCAATCACCAAATCGTTGAATGCTCAGAAGTCTGCAAATAGTTCTTCAATCTCGTTCATTTCACCTAGCGCTTCTCGGCCAATGGTTAGTTCTCTTCCTGTGTTGTCCGCTCCCAGTTTGACACTCACGTCACCCCACGCATAAGGATTTTGATGTCACCAACTGAGACGGGGTCTTGTCCAGTGTTGATTGCAGTTGTCTGTAGAATTCCTCCTTCTTCTCTTCATCTGCATTATTTGTAGGTGTGTAGCATTGACATTGAATGATTGTGACTTTCCTTGCTTTTGAGTTGAATCCATCTTACTGTCATGATCCTGATTGTGGTGGAGATTGGTTGGCACTGCATAAGAGAGAGCCTTTGGTGCTCTTCGGAACGTCATGATAGCTGCTTCATAACTCAGTGTGCTCGTGGTTGTCGTTTGGGTGACAGTATCGGAGTAGATTATTGACTCATCTCCAGTTGACAGTTTGGAGAGTCCACTTCCATTCAATCTGCAGATTCCTCACAGACTTCTAGCACTTCAATGCTATACCTCCTCACCTCCTTTGCAGTCTGGGCTGCCTTGCCAACCAGCTTCAAACACTGTGCAAACATTCCATGTCCCCATCCTTACTTTCGCTTTCATTGAGAGAAGACACATTGGCCAATTGGCTTGCCGAAGGCTTACACCAATGGGCATCATTTCGTCTCTCCGATTCCAGAGAAGAATATGTTTGCTTTTATTTTTTATATTTTGTCTGTGCTTTGAAGCTTCTGTAGTGGTTGGATTGGTTTTACGGAGTAGGGTTGGTGGCCCTATGCCCAACCTTTCCTCTTTACCCGGGCTTAGGATCGGCTAGTAACTAGTGAACTAGTTAACCAATCAATGTTTTCAGAATCAATAGGAAGAATTTATCCCTGTATCAGTAACGTCGATTCAATACTGGCAATAATACGCATTCACATCCGAAAACCTTGTAAGCTCACTAATACAGATAAGTTAGCTCTGTCTACACTACACCATGTTGTATTAATCTTATCGGCCAATATTTTGCTGTCAACTATGTAGAATCTCTTGATTTATTTTGGTTTTTGGTGAATGATTCCGGTTACTGCGAATGACAGCAGTAAAATAAGCAGACAGTCCTTGATGAATACCAACTGAAAATCGAGAAATAATTCTGAACATACCTCCAAGCTTTATAATTGTCTAGCATTCATTAGTTACTTACTTCGAGATGTGCTTCTCAAAGTTCTAATGATAAATCATGACAAATGGGAGTACATAAAGTCAGACACACGAAGAGTTTTGGCTGCGCATTGTTGAGAACTTTTATACCAGGATGAAACAAATGTCCATGGCTCTCAGGTTTTAGATGATCCACCGAATGATGTCAGTCCATCATTAATACTAACTGGAATCAGTAAGCAGCTCCCAACAAAACTCTAAACTGACTAGTTTTCCTGTTCCAAATTATATTCTCGTTGTATCCCCACATATCTGGTACTGACTTTATAAAATTGCAGCGGTATTGTGTTCTCGGGAATAGATGGTTTTATCGTGAAGCTCTCATTGTCATTTTAGATAACATAATCACCACAAATTTCAATAGGAAGTGAGATATTCAATTTTGTCCACAATTCGTTTCTCACCTTATTCTGATGACCTTGTCTGTGGTTGGTTATTTCGGCGAACATCTTGTCATTCTCTTCATGCCTATTTCAATTGGTTATCCTGATGACCTGAAATTTGACCTTCCTGTTGTTTCGCATTGGTCCATAGATTGGGTCAATGTCAATCTGTCTATTGACCGCTGACTGACCTGAATACCAAGCTTATAAAAGTTCTCTGGCATTCACTGTATTCTCCCTTTCCACGATTTCCACACTCTCTCAGTCAAATTTATGTCCACAGTTGTCCACATGCATTGGTATGAGTGAAGATATGTTATGAAGCTTGACTGGTAGTTGATGTTAATGTGGACAGATGCAAAGAGGACCACCGCTGTGTTCAATGGATCTGTTTTTCCACACTTCTATAATGCATACTCTTTTTCAAAACAACTCTTCAGAAGACTAAAAT